CCTGGAGCGACGGCGGCGACGGCGGCGCTAGGGCACACGGCGCTAGGGCGTTTCCGACGACGAGAGGCGAAGGCGAGGGTGGCGGCGGGTAGAGGAGACACCGGGGAGCCTTTTAAAGGGGCTAGGAGGCAGCGGCGAAGGCCCACGGCGGCCGGCGACGGGAAGGAAACTTCGGGGTTCGGAGGAAAGAGGCCGATCCGAATCGAACTCGATTCCACGAACTTCCAAAACGAATTAGCCGATGTTTCCAAAAGAGAAAAGGAAGAGGAGATCGAGAAGATCATTTCCCCTCTATCAATTCGGCCGGAGAAGGAAAGGAGCGGCCGGATTTGGAAGGAAACGGCGGCGGCGGCGCGCTAGGGTTTCGGGCGGCGACGGCGCGACGAAGACGACGACCCTGACAGGTGGGGCCCACCAGTCAGCGGGAGAGAGAGAGGAGAGCGGCCGGCGGACTGGGCCGACTTGGGCCGAGGAGAGAGAGAGGGTTTTGGGCCGACTTTCGGCCCAAAGCCAAAAGAGGACTTTTTAAAACCTTTTTCAATTTAAATTATTTCTTAAATGCAATTCCATTTATTAAAAATACTTCCTTAGCTCAAATAAATCCCAGAAAAATCTAGGAATTATAGAATTAAGCAAAGTATTTAATGAAATTTTATCTGGCCCCATTTTATATTGGAATTTATTAATTAAAATTAGATCTTCTCTTCTAGGCTTTTTAAAAATTATTTCTAAAAATTCCATTTAAACAACAATTTATATATTTTGAATTTTTAGGGTGTGACATCTACGGGTATCTCCCCTGGACAAAATGTGTTGTACTTAATTTAATTTAAATTGACTTAGTTTTCTATTCTTTTAGATTAATCTTCTATATTTTACTTCCTCATCTCTTTTATCACAAGATTTTTTTCAAATTCTAAATAAACTAATTTGATTATAAATTAATACCACATATTATTCATGTTTTAATTAACAAATATTTAATGTATTGTAATTATTTTTGATTTTAAATTAACTTAGTTTTCTATCAAATTAAACAAGCATACAACAGTTATATATAATTATTCGAACAATAATTATAATAATAATAGCACAAATTAATCATGTTTTAATTCCACATTAAAGTTGTAAACAAATAATTAATGTGTTTTACTTAATTTAAATTAACTTAATTAAGTTTTATATTCTTTTAGATTAATTTTCTACATTACTTCATCCTTACACAAACTTTCTCTCTCATCATCACCCAATCCAAATTTCTAGAGGCAAAATAGTATACAAAATATATCTCTAAATCCAAATGCTAACAACAAAAGAGAGGAGGATGAAGTTGCTAACCTTTTTGACACCTCCAAGTTGTATATTATCACCAAAACAAAAAACCAAAAATTTTGGTAGCACCTCCCCTCAAAACTCAAGAAAATTTTGATGCCTTCTCGGGCTAGAGGAAGAAGAAGATGACATATATGGAGGGTAATTTTAGTCCCAGTTGTTGTTACCAACCGGGTCTAAAAATGGCCAAGATTTTTAGTCCCGGTTGGTAACACAAACTGAAACTAAATATCCCATCTTTTGTCCAGGTTGGTGTTACCAACCGGGATTAAAGATCCGGGGGACCTGACACATCCTGACAATCGGCAAACCATCTTTAGTCCCGATTGGTAGTAAAGATCAATTCTTCCCGTTGCATTTTTAAACCGGGAGTAAAAATGGTTTTTAGTCCCGGTTTTTTGTTGAACCGGGACAAATGTGGTTTTTGCCCGACCCGGCAAAGATCACTTCTCCAGTAGCGTATTTTCTACTTATTAAATTTTAATCAAAATAAAAGTATTTCTTCATATACCTTTTATATCAACCAATAACAAACATCCCCAATTTAATTTCATCATCTACTTTATTTTCTTAGCCAATTACAACTTTCTCCCAATCATCTTTAATAACTTTTTTATTACCCATGCTTAACTTACAAAATGTGTACATTTTACTGCTAGCCTTCTCCGACATTGCACATACAACATCACCCACTAGATTGGACAGGAAGACTCTTCAGATGCTTTTAATGGTCAATTTGCACATTGAAACAACATGTTAGTTCTTTTTTTTTTTTGCACATTAGCACTTGTTTAAGCTTCTTCCAATGTACTACTCCCTCCATTTTCTAATAGATAACGCCGTTGACTTTTTCTCACATGTTTGACCATTCGTCTTATTTAAAAAAATTATGTAATTATAATTTATTTTGTTATGAGTTGTTTTATCACTAATAGTACTTTAAGTGTGATTTATACTTTATACATTTGCATAAAATTTTTGAATAAGACGAATGGTCAAATATGTGAGAAAAAGTCAACAGCGTCATCTATTAAAAAACGGAGGTAGTAGTATTTTAAGCTTCTTCCAATGTTTACTTTTCCTACTACCTCTGTCTAAAATGACTTCATCTCTAACTATGTATATTGGATAATTCTCCCAATAGACTTTATTTCTAGTTATGCGTATCACATAGCTAGTCCAGGTGAAATGATGAAGCTACTACTAGCTTTTTCGCAGTGCGACAGCTAGCTTTTTTTTCTTCAGTCTTGGAGAGCGTAACGTTATTTTTAGTACAAACTACACCCTTCGTCTCGAAATATAAACATAACATTTTTAGCATAGTGGTAAGTCAACCATTTTTAACTTTAACTATTAATAATAAAGAAATTAAAAATATCAATCATATAGAATTGATGTTACTAGATTTATTATTAAACAAATTATCATAATATGCAACACTTTTTATTTAAAACATGCTATTTTTATAAATATTGTTGGTCAAAGTAGTATCTCGAAGACTGTGTCGAAGTCTAAAAATACTTATATTTTAGGACGAAGGGAGTAGTAAGAAACAATAATGTACGAGTTAGCAGTACCATGGTACTAGTAACGCGCATACATACATACATTGGTAGCGCTACACGGCGCGACACACGGGCGCAGCGCGCCAGGGACCAAAATGGAGCGACACACAGCGGGAATGTCCCCCCACTGGTGCAACCAACCGAACTCAGAGTTAAAAATTAACTTACATACAGTTGGTGATGGATTACGATGCCATTCGTGATGAGTTAAAGTTTAACTTAGATTTAGCTAGTATTAGTAAACGTTTAAGTTTTATACACATGGGTGGTCGGTTGTGAAGGCATTGTTGTGGAGTTAATGTTTAACTTGATACAGTTGGGATGTGGACTATGGTGTCGAGGATATTGAGTTAAAAAATAACTTGGAGTTTTTGTACCTTGCAAAAATCGATAGATCTTTTAATTTCTATATAGAAATAGGGGCCTGCTAATGTGTGTGATTAGACCGAGCCACGTATCTCGGATATTACATATACACATGCTAACTAATGTTTAATTCATCGGATAGAAATCAACCCCAAGTCATAGTAACTGGGAGGTTAAAAATGAAAATCGTAATGGTCCAAAAACTACATGATCCTAGCGTGTATTGATTCGGCATTAATTTGATAAGTGGTTAGAGGAGGCCCGGAATAAACGGTATTTTGTACTGATATTTTTATTTCACCAAATAAAATTGGTAGTAAAAAATTTCAACAATCACAACGTGGATAATAATTATTTTACGATGCATATTATTACAATCGATCATCACAACGGACATCGACGGTGGCAAGTCGTGTAGGTGCCCGCCGCTGCTCCTCCATGGATGCCGGAGGACAAGCTCACCGCCGCGAAGGTTGACACCGTACGCGTGGTGGCGGAGCAGCGGACGGATCCTCCGCCGTCTCGCTTGCAGCCCGCCGTCGTCACCTGTGCAGGATCCACGCCCACAACTGCGCTGGATCTGCACTGCTGTAGCCGGAACCACGCGCGTGGGACGCGGAGTGGCGGCTGGATCCGCCGATGTGCTCGTTGCCGCTGCGCCTCCGCGCCTCCCGCCTGTAGTCGCCCGTCATCGCCACACCCGTAGTCACGCCGGATCCGCCCCATCTTGGCCGGGTCCGCGCGCATGGGGTGCAGAGCGGCGGCCGGATCCGCCGCCACCTCACCTCCCATCCGCAGCCGCCCGTGGCCACCTCGCCCGTCGACGCTGCACCTGTCCACGCACCTCGGCGCCACCAAATCCGTCGCTCCTTCCCCTCATCACTCCTCCTGATCCCCGAACGGCCACCGCCGCTCCTCCTCATCCCCGAACCGCCGCCGCTGCTGCCGCTCCTCCTCGTTGCCAACCCATCACCGGAACCGCCTCGCCGCCACTCCTCATCCCTTAACCGCCGTCGTCGTTCCTCTTCTCTCCACGAGGAACCGCACGCCGTCGCAGATCCGTAAAATGTGGAGAAGGAGAGTAATGAGTGGGTGGACGGTTTCTTCGATGGGAATTCGTAATATATATACCAGATAAAGTCAGTATGTCGAGTTAAAAAATAACTCAATGTGGAAACACCGTTGGATCACAAGACACACATTGACTATCTCACTAACCGTTAAAAAAACTGGCTTCGTATTTAACAATTCATTGTATGGTTAAGTTAAAAAATAGCTCAATGTACGAACACCGTTGGATCACAAAGACACACATTGGATAACATCAAGTAAAAAAATTACCCGGATTATGGGAGTGGGGGAGGGGCGCAGGGGTGGGATTGAGATTGGTCGTCGGTGAGTTAAATTTTAACAGCATGCTATGGATTTAGTGGGGGCAGGGTGGGGAGTGTGTGAGGGTGGGGCTGGGGGCTGTATCAGTACCATTTAGTACGTAGCACCTTGTCGTGCCATATAGTAGAGAGTGTGTGTGTTAATACTGACTTAATTTCGTCTGCCATCTTCTCCTTTTCTAATAAGAGCATATAATCCTCTTGTTTGTCGTCCCAATACGTTAGGGAAAAGGGTCTGGGTCATTTTGATCTAGTCAACAGGGACTGTTCGATTCATCAATGTCAAAGTGACTGCTTATTTAAATTCTCGTACATACTAACAACTAATTAATCTTCACATCGACAGGAATCTCTGCTTTTGTTTTCCTTGCCCTAGCTAGCTTCCTCATAAGAGAAGTGATCCAGCATAAAAGAAGTATCAGAAGGCAAAATTTACAAAGACAAACTGATGAGTATTTTCAGCAGCATGGAGGCCAGCTCCTGTTAGAAATGATGAAAGTAGAGGGCAATGTCGGGTTCACTCTCTTCGACAGAGTGCAAATTGAGACTGCCACGGGTAATTTCAGCAAGACACACATCATAGGGGAAGGAGGACAGGGAACAGTTTACAAGGCAGATTTAGACGGAGTTGCTGTTGCGATAAAACAATGCAAGGAAATTGACGAGAGCATGAAGAGGGACTTTGTCCAGGAGTTGGTTATACTTTGTCGTGTCAACCATCCCAACATAGTAAAGTTGCTTGGCTGTTGCCTGCAGTTCAAGGGGCCCATGATCGTATATGAGTTTGTGCAAAACAAAACATTGCAAGAGCTGCTTGACCTCCAGAGAAGCAGGAGGTTCCATGTCACACTAGGAACTCGGTTGAGGATTGCCGCGGAATCCGCTGAAGCACTTGCGCATCTCCATTGCCTACCGCATCCTATACTACATGGCGATGTGAAGCCAGCTAATATCCTACTTGCCGAGGGATTGATCGCAAAGGTGTCTGACTTTGGGTGCTCAACAATTGATGAGGAAAATCAGGCTGTGCCCAAAGGCACTCCGGGGTATATTGATCCGGACTATCTACTCGAGTACCAGCTCACATCCAAGAATGACGTATATAGCTTTGGAGTTATCCTTCTTGAGCTTCTAACAGGTAAGAAGCCACTATCAAAAGAAAGGAGGAGCTTGACATCAATGTTTCAGGAGGCTATAGCACATGATACACTCCGTGAGCTCCTTGACATTGACATAGTTGATGAAGCTAGCATGAGGGTGATCTATCGTGCAGCGATGCTAGCGAGTCAATGCTTAGTTGTTCCAGGTACAACAAGACCAGCAATGACGGTCGTGGCGGAGGAGCTTCGGCGGCTTGCCCTAGCAGATGAAGTGCAGCGATGCCCACAGTCGCCATTAGTTCTTGAGGATCTGAGCTTTACGGATACAGGAGGAAGCACAGTGTCCATTTGGTACAATGGGAGCCAGACCAGCGGGGTTTACAACCTCGAGAAAAAGGCCGTTCTGAGTACAGGATTCGCCAGATGATCGATAGATCATATGCTATATTGTTGGCTTCCTTGTGTCATTTGTAGGTTTATGATATATTTAGTGTTCTTCCACACTTTAGAGGCATTCATTGTGAGGAATAAGAGTACACTAACATGTAAAATAATGTAGCATTAAGTGTACCGCAAAATTAATGACTGAAATTTAATTATCTAGTTTAACTTCATGCATGGTAGATCTTCTACTCCGATATGTTGGGAGTTAAACGTATCGTCAAGGAAATCCATGGCGGTCTCTTGTTATTCCCCATTTTGACACCAAGGAGGGTTTCTGAGAAGTCGGAGCTGCTACGTCGAGTATTTGATGAGCTTGGCAACGATGAATTGAACCTTTCGCTTGGTTTCAGGCAGGGTTTGGTTGTTGTCTTCTAGTGAAGTCGGAGTTGCTGCGCTTTTGTGAAATCGGGAACAATAACCCATGCCAGGCGGAGGCCGAGCATGCAGAGGAGCGCGGCAAGCTCTAGCTTGGTGAGACTCCCATCGACATCGAGCTTGAATCGGAGGAAGATCCTGCGCAGCCACTCGCGCTCATAGCCAGCCAGAGCGGGGGCCTTCCCCTTCTCCTTCCCATCGACAATGTCATCACCGCTTGCATCTGCAAGGCAGGCACGAAGCTGGGGTTCAAGAGGCAGGGAAGGAAGCGGCAGCGGAGAAGGCATGAATGGTGGGTCGATGAGGGGAGGAGAAGACGTCATCATGTGGGGAAGGGTCCGGTGCGGTGGTCAGAGGACTCTTTTCAATGGATGTCGGCGGAGGCACCTTGGGTGTTGCTCTCCATGTGCTTGAAGTCATCGTCAAGGGAGACGGAGGCGAAGGCGTGGCGGGAGGAATTAGTGTTGCCAAAGACACCGGGGAATGGGGAGGCGGAGGCTTGGCCGTACATGTCAAAGAAAGGATTAGGTGGAAGAAATGTTAACCATATTGTTTAACTAACACATGGGTCCACAATTTTTGTTTTAATATTAAACTATTAAATTTTGCTTCATGTACCACGTCAATGCCACGTTAGATGAAGACCAATTCAAATTAGCCACGTGGGTGCCACGACAGCTAAAAACCGTCATCCAAACTGTCCTGGGACCAATATTGCACCGGTTTTAATAGTTGAGGAACCCGTTGTATCTAGTATTGCGGTTTAAGTATGAAAATCATACTCACTGTCACAGAGTTGGCAAAGAAAAATCCTCCCACTAGGCCCAAAGCCCTTCGGCCGCATAAAAAGCTGAAGCGCATGTATAGACCTTATTAGGCCCTCTTCTAAGGGAAACGTTCACTTTGGATCCATTAACTGTTGGTCGAGTATCATACGTTGCCCCTCAACTATAAAATCAGATATAAAATGTCCAATAACTATTAAAGCTTGTACAAACTAAGTCTTTGAGACAAAAAAAAAATCCTTCTGATCAGCCTTCCTAAGTATAATAGTATCATCAGCATACTGAATTATTGGAAAGTCACTTTCTTCATCAGGCTGAATAGGCTTAGAAATTAAAACTCTATTGAAGCAACTCAGCCCCTAGAACAAACAAAAGTGGAGACAACGGGTCCCCTTGTCTGACCCTTCTTTTGCATTTGAAGGATATTCCAGGTACACCATTTAAAAGAACTGAAGTATTTGCTGAGTTAAAAATCATTTCTACCTAGTTTAAGCATTTAGCAGGAAAACCTATATGTCTCAATATCATCAAGATTGCTTCATGCTCAATTGAGTCAAAAGATTTCTCAAAATCAAGGTTTATAATAACAATTTCTCTCTTTGATTGCTGACATTGATGAATTTATTCAAAAGCCCATGCTAAACAATCTTGTATTGTTCTGCCTTTAATAAAACCATATTGATTTTGGTGAATTAAATCAGTGATCACTCCTTGTAATCTATCAGCTAAAGCCTTAGTTAGAAGTTTGAGACTTATATTCTTAAGGAAATGGGTCTAAAATTATTAGCTGATTCTGGGTTTATCTTCTTTGGTACTAAAGAAATGAAAGAAGAATTTATAGACTATAAAAATCTTGGGCAACAATGGGCCAACATTTAATTCTTCAAGAAATACCCATTAAAACCATCAGGGTCAGGAGCTTTATCAACAGGCGTCCACTTTACCAAATCATCTATCTCTTGAGAAGAAAAAGGATCCACCAAATAGGACAAATCAATTGTTCTTTGAGGAAATCACTCAGATTGAATGCCATGCTTGTTCCCAGAGTAGAGTTCGACTTTTACTCTATTTTTATGTCTAGTGCAACTATAAGTTTTAAACTGCAACCGATTTTGTACCTATATTCGGCACAAACTCTAACAATCTTCATGTTCTTCTCCCCCACTATCGAAATGTGCATATGATTATCATTGACAATTATATCAACTTATTTATGAAAACATCAAGGGGAAATTGGATGATTGTTTCTAATCCAATGAGAAAACTTGCAAAGCTCCTAACTACTTGTCGAAGTGTCATGTGATTTTATAGATTTTATAGTTTGTACTGAACTGTAACGTTGACAGGTTGGTAGAACGTGGAATTAATTCTTCTGTACAGATTTTTCGTCATTTTCCGTTAGTACATTTTTCAAAATACTAAATAATATATTTTATGTAAAAACTTTATACATAAAAATTGTTTTAAAATATTAGATAAATCTATTTTTCAATTTGTAATAATTAAAACTTAATTAATCACAGGTTAATATCTTTCTTGTTTTGCGTGCCCCCTTTTTAATCTTGGTCTTTAGGAGGGCCTATGTGTCAATTTGCATTTGTGTGTGATGAAACAGATGTTCTGTGGACAATGGACACACTCTGCCTCTAACTAACTCGGGAAAAAAGGAAGCAGTATTCCAAGCATAAAAGAACTTTGCAAGAATGATTATCTTGGGACATAGGCCCTCCTAATTGGTTTGCCATTGATCGATCTTGGGATAAATGGATGGACTTTTCGTTGAAAAAAAAGGGGAAAAGCGATGAAGCATTCAGAACAAAAAACTCCAGGTGCCAAACTCTGTCAGACTACGTGCACACTGCGACACCCAGAGATTAACTCGCACCTGCTGAGGATGCGACGCCGACTTGCCGTGGGCCGGGAGACCCAGCGAGCTCGGCGGTGGCCGGACATACGGCGGCTTGCCGTGCGACGTGAGCCCCTGCACCAGCATCCTTCACGAGTTCGCCATGGCTCTACACCACGTTGCCTAGGAACACCCCCGTGCAGCTCCGCCCGAGCGCCACCTGGTCTAGGCGCCACACGTTCATGGTGGAGAAGACGACACCCGCGACGCCGAGCAGGCTTCTCGCCGGAGCAACTACCGCCTTGTCCTCTTCAGGCAACTATAATTTTGCTCCAATCCAACAGGGTTCAGCGTGACGGCCATGACAAGTAGGCCCAGACATCTGCCACGACAAGCGTAAACATGAAAATTTTTGGGTCTATACTATCGTGTGACCAAGTTACATGGTTTTATATAGTTTACAGATTGAGATTTCTGCTATTGGCGCCGATAAGCAAGCAGGCAGAGGCGCGCTCGGCGCAGGGCGCAGCTACGGGCTGCTGCCATCGGCAGGCAAAGCCGCAGCGGCAGGAGCAAGTTGCAAAGGAAGCCTAGGAGCAAGGCAGAAAAAACCAGAAAATGGAAAGAATGAGGAAGAGAATGGTCTTGGCATTGATTGTTTTTATGATTGTCACAATGAACAACATGATTGTCACAATGTTATGTCCTACAATATCGTGCAGCGTGATTGTTTTTCTCCTTTATTATTGTTCTGTGCTAGCTCTTGCCATGAGCCACATCTATTTTTTTTCCTCTGCCGCTGAGTGGCGCATATGTGTGAGGGAGATGGTGAAAGTGGTCGAGAGATGTATCGGCAAAAAATGAACTGTAGCACAAAAGCAAGAGCTGAGAACTGGCAGCTCGGTGGCGACGGAAGGGTCAACCCTGTTGGATTGGAGCAAAATTATAGTTGTCTGAATTCCCTTTTCCTCTGTATTAATCGTGTTGGTTCCTGACAAACATCATACATTGAAAACTATTTATTGGCAGAAAACATGTTGCATTATTGTTTCTTACAAGATAGCTTGTGTGTTAGTAATACCTGATGATGTAAAGCTTGGCACAGCAATAGCTATCGGAAAACAGCGTTATCAAGGCCTCTAGCCACCAACCTCTCATTTTTCACAAGCATGTGAACGTGCGTTACAAATATGCTAAAAATCAAACAGCATTACAGCGCACAGGCTAACGCTACATAGCTCGATCGGAAGACAATTTCTTATTTCCCATCACACGTATTTGACATATCCGATCTGAAAAATCAAGTTTCAAATATTTTGTTCCAGATGCAACACATAGCTAAACATAAAGGTCTTTTAGAGACAGAATGAGGTAGCAGGCGACAACCAAGCTAGTTAGCTAGAAGATGCAGTACACAGTATAAAGAAGCTGAAAATTAAGCAGGATACAACAACAGCGAAGTAGCGAACAGAGGACAAGAGCTAGTAAAGTTGGGCGTCCGTGCGAGTGTACACCCCGAGCGCATCGAGGTAACACCCCGCGCGGGCGAAGAAGCCGACAATGCACCCGTCGCTCTCCCCCGGAGCCGTGAATGGAGTCCCTCCGCCTCCGGCGCCTTGCCCAAACGGCCCGTAGCTGAGGCATTGGTTCGTGGAGAACGTGAGCGAGGTAATGACGACTGTGTCAGGTGACGCTGCATCCAAGGGACCGAACGTTCCGGTGATCCCCTGAAGTGATTCCAGAGGCATCAGTTCAATCTGCGAGAGACAATGCAATGGGGTACGTTACATTCTACCCCAAGATAAATGTATATACTCTCTCTATCCCTCGACGCCGTTGACTATTTAAACATGTTTAACCGTTTTTCTTATTCAGAAACTTTTGAATAAGATTTAATAAACATGTTTAAAAAAATCAACGACGTCAAATATCTAGGAACAGAGAGAGTATATATCGATGACAGACCGATTGAAAAAATATATATATTCGTCCACTAACCTTATACGCATTGCCACCAGGACCACCCCATGGACCAACAACTTGCTCACTTCCGTCATGGTCGGCATATGAGAACTCAATAGAATCGATGACGTCACCACTACGGATAGTCACACTCACTAGACGATGTGGCTCCGGTGCATCGACGTAGTGGGACTCACCTCCACTTCTACCCCATGGCCCAATCCTGGTAAGCCCAGTCTAATTTACCAAAAATGAAGAAAAACGAAGGATTAGTGTGTGAGCACAGAGGAATGAGATAGATAGGAACAGCAAAATTTTACGCTACTTATATCTCTAGGTATCACATGCATTGCTATATTAACGGCCGTTTGGTTGGAGAGAATTTTTAGGAGGGATTGGGAGTTTAGAGGGATGAGACTATTAAGTGTTTTGTTTGGTTGGGAGACATGGGAATTTTGATGGGATGGAGATTGGGAATTGAGAAAGGAACTCCCTCCTTTTCAATACCTGGGTAGGGGCAGGTAATTGGGAGGGAATTCCTCCTTTACTTTTTCTAAGCAAATCTCATCCATCCGTTTTTAATAATGACTTAATCTTCAACTAAACTCCCTATTAATTTCCATCACCTCTACCAAACAAGATATTGGGATTAAGAATCAAATTCACATCTTAATCTCATCATCAATTCCCTCGTGTAAACTCCCAATCCCCTTCCCTCGAGTTACCAAACAAGTTATAAGTTTAATACTGAAAATTGTGACACTCCTTCTATTTTTCTAAAGAATAATGGTAAAAATAGCTATGTTCAGAATGTCAAATTGTAGTGCTAGTCATGCCTATACTTCTTGTTATTGATGGCCAAATAGGCTGTCTGGCCCCGCCCAGCCAATGCACGACCAGGCTCTGACCCGAGATCAGTTGGGCCAGCACAATCTGACCTAAACATCAGTCTAGGCCCACCAACGGCTCAGACACGACCCAATAAGACTCGGGTTGTACCGGGCCGGCACGAATGCACAGAAGACTGCAGTGCTCCTCGGTATAAATCTATTTTCTCCCTCATCTCTTTGGGCCGTATCTTATATACCTGGAATAAGTATATTCTTGCATCCTTTATATCTTCGGGCCGTGCCTTATAAGGCTAAAATAAGTCTATTTTGGGCTGTGCCGTGCCGAGCCAGCTCAGCATGCCGAGACAGAGGCCTAGTCACGGCCTAACAATCTGACCGGGCCGGCATGAGGCTTTGGACACCAGTCGAGCCGTGCCATATCTAGACTGAACCAAACCCTGTGCCCTGAGTCGGGTCGTCGGGCCCGATCCTTTCTGTCATTTGTACCTGTGGTGCCGGTGCTTCCTGCAGGTGGGGGTTGGCATAGACGCCAATGGCATGGACGAAGGAGTCCGCGCAGCCGAAGAAGCCGACGATGCTGCCGTTGCCGCGCATCGGGATCTGGAAAGGACTTCCTCCGCCTCGTCCGAATGGACCGCGCCTACGGGCGTTGGTGATCAGCGTGAGTGATGTGACGACATCCCTATCCGGTGCCTCGTTAAATGGGCCCATGGTCCCGCATATCCCAGTTAGAAACTCCAAAGGGCCAAGCTCTATCTGCATGGACAAAAAAAATTGTAAGAAATAAAATTGCATCAGGCTTGCTCTACGTCGAGTCTCGTGGAAGATAAATTTAAATCGTCCTCCGTCCCTAGATTATTCTTTTAGAAACACAGAATAAAATAAATATAGACGCTCACAACGCATACATAGTTATCTCTATTAACTCACACGCATATCCTAACTCTATGAGCACATACGAAACACTCTTTTAACGCATATCCTAACTTTGACTAAATTTATAAAGAGAACTATATTATTTGATATGAGATATGTATCATTTTTATAGTTTATTATTTGAAGTGATAGATGTTAATACTTCTTTTTATAAAAGTTTATCAAGCATTTACAAACACTCTAAAATCGTAGATTGGAGGGAGTATAAGGTGACAAGTTTCTTTTTTTTTAAAGAAAATACTAATCCAGCAATAGGAAAAATGGACTAGAACTTGGTGGGCTTGGTAAAATACATTTTAATGAGTTAAGCATGTACTCCCGAATCTATACAATCTATCTAGATTCATTGTATTAGGTTATGTCACATCCAATCTTAATTAGGTTTGTTTTTTTTTAGCGAAGGAAGTACGTGGTTAGATTTTTTGTACTAGGTGACGTCACATCCGATCTTTTTTTGTTTTTTGACAAATGGAGTGCTCACCGTATAAGCGGTTCCACCAAGACCGCCCCACGGGCCTATCGAATGCTTCTGCCCATCACGATCACTGTAGGAGAACTCAAGTGAATCGATGACATTGCCACTATGAATCGTCACGCTTTCCAAACGCCGTGGTGCCACCTTGATGTCCCGATGACTCCCTCCGTTCCAACCCCATGGCCCAATCTTCGCGAGGGAATCCTAACGAGTATATAAACATTCGATAAAAGTGAGAAAAAAAATAAAATCACATATAGATAGATGGAAACAACTTCTCATTTTAGAAGTTATATATATATTGATCACCTCATCATCATCGTCTTCTACTGTTTTCTGCTTAGGGTTAACATAGATACCAAAAGCGTCCACGTACCACCCAGCACGTGCAAAAAAGCCAACAATGCTGCCATTGTCCTGCACTGGGATGTGGAAAGGAGTTCCTCTTACTTCTCCAAAAGGTCCGTAGCTTCCCTTATTAGTGATAAACGTAAGCGATGTAATAACACCAGCGGGTGCCCTATCAAATGGTCCGATTGTCCCAGAAACTTCCGTTACATACTCTATAAGACCAAGCTGAATCTGCAAGAAAAGTTTCAAAATAACATAATACTACTAGTAAACCTATTATAAATTTCACTAGTTGTGTGCAGAGATAATGAATGTATACCAATCATTTTATCTAAAAGAAAAATGCAAGAATTGAATAATAAGATTCATAGTCACCTTAGTACGTTTGTTCCCTTTATTTGGGCCATAGCCGCCCCATGTGCCTGATGTGTGCTGCTGCCCACTGTGGTCAATGTATGAGAACTCAAGTGAGTAGATGACCTCACCGCTAGAAATTATCAAGCTTTCCAACCGGCGGGGTGCCACCTCAATGTCATAGTGACTGGAACCACCAGCTCCACCCCACAGCCCAATCTTGGCTACCTTAGCCTATGTGTTAAGCCATCAAGGGGAAAAAAACACATTGTGAACACCAAATATGAAAATAGAAGTTATGTATATAAATATTTAAAGGAATTATTTATTGGTAATTTTGTTAATGGTGTCGTGCAGACCAATCATCTGTTACTACAAAGTTATAACCCACTGCTTCCTCAAGAATACATGCAAAGATGACACATCATTATTCACTAACAATTATTACATTTAAGCATCATACAAACATGCTATATTGTCTATAATTTAATAATTTATTAAATTTTAAAGATTTTAAATGTAAGCATGTTAAATCATCCCACATAATCATAATATTTCAATATATCTCTCCATTATTTTTTTATAACATCCTATATACTATATATAGTTCATCCTCACTTAGTTCATGTCATTTTTCTTTTATCTTATTAAGTCATATCACATCAATGGTTCAAATTGTCTCTCTTCTTTTCTTCTCTCATCAAACCATATCATCTTACTTTTACATTTGAATCTTTATTCTACATACTATTTAAATTTAAATCGCATCAACTTATATAAAATCATGTTTATATAAGCTTATGTTATTTAAGTTATCTTACACATTATTTTTACATTATTTTTAGTTATTGTTATCATAATAAATTCCCGTAACAGCGCAGGGTTTTACCTTAGAATTATTTGACTGTCCCGTAGATAAATGTCCCATTACAAGAGAACAACAAAATTACTTCCTTCACTGATTCGTTCTCGGTTGGTTAGTAAAAAAGTTGTTCTTCGTGTGTAAATGAACTACTAGAAGTGTAAAATATAAGAGTACTTCTATCATAACGCCTCAACTTTCAGCTAGGGGAAGATTTAGGGGGAAAAGGAAATCCTAGAGCAATCAACAGTAGGGCTAAGAATTTTGATCCCGGTCCAATATATATATATATATATATATATATATATATATATATATATATATATATATATAGAGTAAATTTGTTTGGTGCTCCATGGTGCCCGGGCACCATTGTTGAAATTAAGTATATACCCAATTCAAATGAGCATGAAACTTTTTCAATTATTTAGGTATTAATATTAACTACTTTACTAACTAGTTGAAAGCAAGTTTGAACTGAATTTGAACTTGTTTTTGTTAGATTTTGATTCTAGGTATATAGCATCCATACATATAATTAGTTAGGTATGTAATCATGGATTGTGAAATAAAGTTAAATTTGAGTTGTTTTGTTGATAGGTATAGGTATGAATCGAATTCTTATAACTAGGTATATACTCACAATTTGAAAATTTTGAAAAATTTGAGTGATTTTGTGCATTTGAAACCATGGTGCCCGGGCACCATGGTGCCCCATATGAGTGTCCTATATATATATATATATATATATATATATATATATATATATATATTTCCTCCCTTTTTTTCTAGCTTTGACGTTGGTTAGTGCAAACAATAAGGGGTGTATGTAGTAGCTGAGAAGAGAAGGCTTTCAAAAGAAAAATGGTAATGTCATATGGACGCATGCATAGTTCACAAAGATACTATTGGTAACTATTAATATAATAAACAATGGGTGTGTTTAGTTCACGCCAAAATTGGAAGTTTGTGTGTGGGTGTGTTTAGTTCACGCCAAAATTGGAAGTTTGGTTGAAATTGGAACAATGTGATGGAAAAGTTGGAAGTTTGTGTGTGTAGGAAAGTTTTGATGTGATGGAAAAGTTGGAAGTTTGAAAAAAATGTTTGGAACTAAACACGGCATGTGTAGGAAAGTTTTAATGTAATGGAAAAGTTGAAAGTTTGAAGAAAAAGTTAGGAACTAAACCAGGCCAATAGCTTGCTAAGGGGACCGAGTTACACAAGGATTATTCTAAAAACATCCACAATGTATGCCATAAGGGGGTCTTAACCAATTAAGGCTTTAGGGTGGGTAGTATACATTATGAAATTAATCTTTATAGATGACCTTATGATGAGCTAGCATTAGGTATAAGGACCACCCATAAGGAATAAATAATTCATCTCTGTTCTCTCTCCTGCTCACTTGCTCACAAGGTTGTCAGTATCCCGATACGTATCCTAGTATCTTACGATACTACGATCCTACCAAGCCGAAACGATACCGATCCCACCTAGTATCCTAATTTTCATAGTATCTCGATCCTACTATTCATTAGTACACGATCCTACGAAATCTTAGGTGGTATCCCGATTCTACGATCCCTACGATACTACAAAATATTATTTAAAATAACATGGTATGAAAATAATATAAATAAATATGCTTAAATTTATATAAAAATCAGTTAAATATATCAAAACCAACTTGGTTTCTCTTAATAAATGCCTATATTTGCATGACATATACCATTACTACATTTTTTTATATAGAATGGCTACATATAATTAATATAAATATTAATTAAACTTAAAAAAAGAAAATCTCATAGTATCCCGATACTACGATACGATCCTATGATACGATATTACTTTGAGCAAAACGATACTAACAAGTATCCCGATACTGACAACCTTGCTTGCTCAAAACTCTCTCCTACATGCTAGCATTAGGTGATATTTTTATATCTGTGGGGCCCACCTTATTTCCTAACAAGTTCATACCATTGTTGGGTATGTACCACAACTAATATCACCTGTTGTAGGACCCATCTATATAGACCACTTGATCTCATATCCTAAATAAACGATAGAATAACATACCCATGCCTGTTTGCCATAGGAATTTAACACTTATCAATCATTATAAAAAGGGAAATTTAGTGTGCAATTGTAGTGGTGAAAATGGGCAGGTACGATTGGATTATAGCATTCGGATATCCTAACCTATATTTTACTTTAAATTTGGAACCTGAAATGGGTAGTGTCGGACAATATATCACTCATCCCGTATCCTATCCAATATTACTTCCTTCGAATCGGCTTCGGGTACGGATATCTATTTGCATCTCTAATTCATAAATATTAAATATAACGAACCAATTATAGTGTCAAAAGAGATAAATTACGGGAAAATTATACAATATTGCACGTGAGCTCGTAAAATAGTGATTAACCAATCCTTTTATCATGCATGTCCGTAGGTGGACTTGTAATAGATTTTCATATGTGTTCTATAATATGGGACATATGAGTGGATACAAGTCTTCTTGTATCATAACCCATTTTTTTTAGGATTCGAATTCAAACTTGGATAGTATCGGGAATCCTTATTTTCTCTTCCATATTCTTCCCGCGAGTCTCAGATCGGGCAAGCTATCTGGAAATACCCGTCCATTTTCACCCTATGCAATGGTGAATGCAAGTCCACAATTGTGAAATGTAATCAATTCATGCAGTAGTAGGGATGAAAATGATCAGAAACGATGTCATTATTTTATTACTTTTATGGAATCGGTCATGGTATGGTCGTAAATTTTTGGTATTCATGAATTTAACTATTTAGCATCAACTTCGATATGATGTTGATAAAAGTTAGAAAAAAATCTAAATTTTATATATGGCTAGAAATGAAAACGATCGGAAATGATATCATTTTTACATTAGTTTTATGAAATGGTATCGGTATGGTCAGAAATATATGTATCATTTTCACCCTTATGCGATAGTACTTACCACCAAAATTAGTTTTTATGGTTCTTTTTTGTACAAAGTAGGTATAATATTTCTGGCATTTCACCAAGGATGTACACATACGTATTTGTAAACATAAGGATTTCAATCATGGCAAGTAGAGTATGTATTATATTTCTGAGTGAATTTTTTTTTTGCATTCACTGACTTTTATGATTGTGGAAATAGTTTCACTGACTTTATATATGTGGCATTAAATAACTACTTCCTCTAATATTCCCAATTGATCATCATATATTTTTATGTTATTTTCAAATGATGATCATATTAGTATTCATTCACTAAGTTTATTCAATATCTCTGTGTGAGAATAATAAATATCTTGGTCTGTTAGTGCACTGCATTGATCGAGTTGTTACCAAATTAAATATAGTATGGAGAGTTATTGGCTTTTCTTGATTTTCATGTACTTCTATAAAATGTGTGGATCAATTAGAAATGGAATTGAGTATTTATTATCTCCCGCCTCCCGCAAAGCTAACATATACATACATCTCAATCATCGTCATAATTATGAATTTATCATACCTGGTCCTGTGATGACGACACGGCTCTAGTATAAATTTCTGTCTGTTTCAACTCATGGATAATGTCATTTATAGCAGGTCTGCTGTGTCTATCAACCTCGACGCAGCGTACAGCTATTTCAACGCATTTTTTCACTTGCTGGCACTCTTCTTTCGCGTGCATTGATGTGTCCCCGATCCTATTCCTCCAATTATTTGCAACCTACGAATCAAAATATGAGCAATACATTTGTTGATTGAGTACACATAGACATGGTTCCGCCATGCATGCATGGTGTCTGCTTAGATGAAAACTGAACTTGTTCTTCTAAGGGCACCCGCAATGGGCTCTCTACAAGATATCCATGTTAGTATATTTTCCTACATGGAAGAGATTAAATGAAGAGAGAGAGCAAAACTATCTACTAACCTGGAGATAGTCTATAGAGAAAAACGAGGCAATGCATTAGAAAGCTATAGATACCCATGTAGACATACTATTGAGGTGGTTTACTATTAATCTAGTCTATTGCTGAGATGCACATGTTTTATAGAGAGCACCTTACTTTACCATTGCGGGTGCTCTAAGGGCAGTCCCAACCCTCCACCTAGGATGGTGTCTATGGTATTAACTACATTGGCATGTAGGACTTTTAACTTATGTGGCACTATATTAATTAAGAGAGAGAGTGAAAAAAGAAAGAAACTGGGTCTCATGCAAGATACAGCTTCAACACGAGAACCTATGCACTAGACACTATCAAGTTTTGTATTGGGAGATAATAGTGTCTTCATAATAGATGAAGAATAAATATGATTGATAAAGAAGAGAGATGATGTATTTATTAATGGCCCATTTTAAGAAATTACGGGTTATGAAGTGTAGTTTCTATTGTGATGTCTTATTGACATGGCACCATAGACACTACTTATGGACACTATGGGTTGAGACTACCCTAAAGCTACGAGAGGGGTTGGCAACCTATCCTCCCCGTTACGCAAAACAAAGCATATATTATTGCATGATTAATTAAGCATTAACTATTTTTTTAAATAGAATTAATAAGATTTTTTAAAACAACTTTCACATAGAATTTTTTTTCAAAATACAATTTAGCAATTTAAAAAATTTGCGTGTAAAATACAAGAGTTGTGAGTTGGAAAAGCAGGGGAAGAACACAACCTACGAATAGACAAGTTCCGCTAGCCATGCACTTCTTTTTTACTTGGGATGGACGACATCTCTCTTTGAAAGGAAAGTTCTCCAGCTACAAAAGACCCGTGCTTGTTATGCCTTTTTTTTATTGGTCACTTTTGACTAGGCACAAATAACTAGGTAATCATAACTTTTGCACAATATGCTAGTTTCGGCATTGATATGATTATTTAAACTAGTACTCCCTGGATCCTAAAATATATAGTACTTACTCCATTTATTTTTTATAGGTATTTTTTTAAATTAAAAAAACTACTTTTGATAGGCATATTTCAATCTAACCACCTACCATCTTAATGACTTTCTCGTATTTAATGCGTTGCTCTCCATTCTTCCACTTAAGATTGGTTATATGAGCATCGAGAAATGTAAATATAATGAATTGCTTGTTTACGATGAATAACTAGTAGCATATTTAAATGGATGATAAGTAGAATTACTTATCCTTGGTCATTGTGACAAGAAGAAATATGACTATCAAAAATAGATGGGGGAGTAACTTTTAGCTACTAATCTGAACAAGGAAAACTGTTTGGCTAGATTCATATCTAAAATTTGTTATATTTTGGGACAGAGTGAATACATTGATGGGTTGGTGGAGGTGAAATTATTATTAGATAAGGGGTAATAATATGAAAAAAATTGCAAACAAATTTTGTTGTAAAAAATGATAAATAAACAAGAATAGAGGGGGTAATTTCTTACGAGATCGACGAATTGTTGGGTTGATGACATTTCGCCATATTTTGAGTAGCCTTTATGTCCCACCATTATCTGGATGATTATAATACCTAAGCTGAATATATCATTCTTATTTGATATTTTACGTTGTGCCAAGTATTCTGGTGCCATGTAGTACCTGCATCATATCATCAGTGATGTTAAACAAACACCATATCATTCGGTTAGTACTAATAAGAAAGAAAGAGGACATATCTCTTGACGTCCTCTCTACTTACTCTGAACCTACGCAAACTTTAGTGGTATGTGTATGCGAGCCACCGAAGGGCCTTGATACCCCAAAATCTGCTATTTTTGGCACCATGTTATTATCTAGAAGTATATTGGCCGGTTTCAGGTCCAGATGCAAAATTGGTTCTTCCAATCCTCCATGAAGGTAACTAAGACCTTCACAAATCCCCATAATTATTTTGTAGCGTGTGCACCAATCAAGCCCGCGAGACTCTTCTGTTAAAGTGGCAAAAAATATTCTTGAAATGTGAGGATTACTTTTTTTTGTTTACATGTTAAATAATTGGATAGAGTTCGCAAATTACCACCATACTCACCATGCAGATAATTCTCCAGGCTTCCACGCGGCAGATATTCAAAGCATAGAACTTTGTATATCATTTTACAAAGTACATCTTCCCCATTAACCTCCATGAGTTCATGTCTTGCTTCATTGCAATAGCCTATAAATCGTACGATATTTTTATGTTGCACCCTCATAAGGTTGCTGAATTCATTGCTAAATTGCACATCATCAAGTCCTCGCAAGTCATATAGCTTCTTCACGGCAATCTCTGTCCCATTTGTCAGCACTCCCTGTTGCAGTTGTATTTCGATCTCATTATTTCATTAATATGTATTACTACAAGGGTACGCCGTAAGTGGGTTATCGGAGTTCATTATTGATACCACTTGAAACAAAGATATGAGTATCATATCTCACAAACCTTGTAAACCTGACCATAGCCACCACTACCAACTATTTGGTGATCGGAGAATTTTTTCGTAATATCTTCTAGAAAATGTACCGGTAGATCAGTTGGCATTGTACTTGGATGGTTTAACTTCTCCTGTTTACAGATTTGCTACCTCTTCACCTATATATACACATGAATTATTAAAACTTTCGTATAAGAATATTTAGAGTTTACATACCTTAAATTAAGATGAGTGAATTGCACGTTATTAACGAAATTTTCACCCAAGCTAGATATAAAACCTAAAGATAAATATTTACATTTATTGTCATAGTTTCTGGGTAGTCTTTTAATTATATAAATAATATATATCAGGATTAATTTAAAACAAAGTTGTTCTTTTTATGATAATCCTATCTATTAATTAACCATTTTATGCTGTATTGGTCCCCTTCCTTCCCCAGAGGTCTCGATTTGTGTGTCATTAGAAACTAATTTGGAAGTTCCCAAGCATTTTGAAAATTTTATAACCTTTGATGCTGTAACAAAATTTGAAATTATATAAAACATGGGAATAATGTAAGGGAACATTTTACGAAAAATAAAATATCACAGGTACAAATTCCTATTAAATTTAAAAATATATTTTTCATTCAATTTTTTTGTTAGAAATATTCAGGATGCAAAATCTTTTGTACAAATATACCATCGGTCTCGCACAACCATTGCACGAGAATGACGTGAAAATGACATCGTGGCCGGTATCATACAGTGAAAGTGCGAGACCGCGCGGTCTCGCTCAAGCAATCAGCGCTATCGCACAAGCAAAGAGCGAAACCATTCCTAGCCGATTTAATTAGCGATTAATTATCCTGATTAGCGATTAATTAATAATTAATTAATCACTAATCTGGATAATTAATCACTAACTATTATTATTTAATTGTTAATCAAGTAATTAATTACTAATCAAATGGAGCCCTTTGGACAGTGTCGCTGATTGCTTGACCGAACCGTTCAGTCTCAGCTCTTTCATTCCGCGATACCGTGTGGTCTCACGCTGTTGCCGCGCGAGACCGCGCGGTCAAAATTAAACGAAAAGTATATTTTCAAATTTAGTTCTTCGTAATAGTGCCAAAATTTCCCCACCCGTTTTTTTATTTTTTTAAAAAAAATGTTGTAAAGACCCTTTTTTTAGAACTTTGTAAAGACCATAGAAAACTTACTAGGATGACATCTTTGGATCATGCGTAGAGAAAAGGTAAAATTTATTCAGTGCATACACTTTATTTGTTCTTATCTTTCGATCAATTGATGATGGTTTGAGATATAAACATGTGGTATGTGGATGTTGTACTAACCAAAGAAACAAATACACGAGACCACTTGCAAGTAAAACAGACCACACGCTATCTGCTAGCTGTCATATTGATTCAAGTGTATGTTATCGAGGCTAACTACCGTTGCATTAGTACATTTTCTTTTTGCTATAGAGTCTTTTGATGACTTATATTTTTTAAAAAATAATACAGTAATTACTTAAAATAAAGAATATATGTATTTACTTGAAAATCATCTCTACACTTTGCTTGTGAATTTACTCCATATAGTTTCTTATTTCAACTCAATCATGACGTAATTACTTCTAATACTATAGAGAGTTACTTCTATTACATAGCAAGGTTGCATAAATGTTTGAATATATTCAAGATCATCTTGTTTTGTCACATATTTTAAGGGAAGTACATGGTGCAAATAGATCATAAAAATAATATATGATTAAGAAGATATAAGTCATAAAAAGATTAAAAAAATACGTTTTTAGCTAAAAGAGAATTTAGTAGGTTGAAGTGATTGCCGCATTCTTTTCGGGCTATTGGGTTTGCTGATTAGCTACACGTAAAACGAGAAACATGATTAGCATATGATTAATTAAATATTAATTATAAAATTTTGAAAATTGAATTTATTTGATTTTTAAAGCATCTTTTATATAGAAAGTTTTTGCACAAAATACAACATCTAGTAGTTTAAAAAGTATGCTAATGAAAAACGAGGAATAGATAAGGTGAACTAGCTGTTTAGAACGCCGCCTTAACCAAGCAACGACCGGTCGCGCGCAAACTCACCTGAGTAAGACATCTCGTTGTCGATTAAGGCCCTGTTTAGTTCCCACGCAAAAATTTTACACCATGTCACATCGAATGTTTGAACACCTGTATGAAGTATTAAATATAGGCTAAAAATAACTAATTATATAGATTACGACTAATTTGTGAGACGAATCTTTTGAGCCTAATTGCTCCATGATTTGATAATGTGGTGCTACAGTGAACATTTGCTAATGACGAATTAATTAGGCTTAATAAATTTATCTCGTGGTTTGATGATGGATTATGTCATTAGTTTTTTTATTAATGCTCAAACACCCTATGCGACACCCTATATAATACTCGATGTGCACGCCAAAACTTTGGGCCTGTTTAGATCCCTGCCAAAAATTTTACGCCCTATGACTTCAAAAGTTTGAATACCTATACGAAGAACTAAATATATATAGACTAAAAAATAACTAATTACACAGATTGCGACTAATTTGCGAGACGAATCTTTTAAGCCTAATTGCTTCATGATTTGACAATGTGGTGCTACAGTAAACATTTGCTAATGATGGATTAGGCTTAATAAATTCGTCTCATAGTTTACTGACAGATTCTGTAATTAGTTTTTTTAGTGCCCAAATATCTCATGTCATATCCTATATAATATCCGATGTGATATGCTGAGACTTTACACTCAGTACATGTAAGCACCCTCTAATTCAATGCATCTGCAGCTGGATGTACATGCCTGAGCGAGAGCCCCACGCCAGCGCGTGCACTATGCGAACACGACCTGCCACTGGTACTAGGGTCAACAATATTTGACGTCAGTAAAGCAATCGGTTTGAAAAAAGAAACACCACTCCCTTTGGAGACTTGACACTTGTGATGGGACGTGCTCCAAGTCTGCAAACACGTACCGTCATCATAGCTCTCGTGACTTTTAAGGCTGTGGCTGTGTTTTGTTCGGTGCCAACAAATTTTGGAAATACATTTAAAGTATTAAACATAGACTAGTAACAGAATAAATTATAGATTTGAACTATAAACTACGAGACGAATATTTTGAACCTAATTAATCCATCATTAGGAAATGTGGGTTACCGTAGCACTTATGGCTAATCATGGCGTAATCAGGCTCAAAAAATTCGTCTCGCAATTTACATGCAAGCTGTGTAATTGGTTTTTTCTTCCACATTTAATGCTCCATACATTTGTCTAAACATTTGATGTGACAGAAAAGTTGGATGTTTGAAGGAAAAAGGTTGAAATCTAAACACAGCGTGTGTTCGGATGCCCCTTTTCCCAAGCTCGTTTTCCTCACACATGTTTTCTACACTGCTAAATGGTGTGTTTTTTGCGAAAAGTTTTTATACGAAAGTTGTTTAAAAAAATCAAATTAATCCATTTTTGAAAAAAAAACTAATACTTAATTAATCACGCGCTAATGGACCACTCCGTTTCCCGTTGCGCACTGTTCCTTGGGAACAAGCAATGGTGAACACAGCCTAAGTATATTACTTCAAAATATAAGAGATTTTGGTTCGATAAGATATATCCTAGTGTTTGCGTAAGATTCATAATACTAAGATATATTTCTTTCAACTAAAATATCTTACTTCCTATGTCCCATAATATAAGAATATTTAGAGGGATGTGACACAACCAGTAAAATACATCTATATGGAGAGCCTGTCCAGATATAATGTACTAGGATGTCACATCCCTCCAAAATCCCTTATATTATGGGATGGAGGGAGTATATTTTATAAATTTGTGCAAATGTAAAAATGAAAAGTTATACTTAAAGTACTTTAGATAATAAAGTAATTCACAAATAAAATAAATAATAATTCTAATTTTTTTATAAGACGAATGGTCAAACAGTGTAAGTAAAATGTCAAAATCCCTTATATTAGAAGATGCAGGGAGATTAGGATGGAGGAAGTATATGGTATTAGTGTTATTTACTAGTTTCATAATATATATAATCTGATAACAATTTATTTTTCTTCTATAATCTGATAATAGAATCGTATTGTGAATGTTCTTATGCTTTCCTCATGTACATCTTTTTCTCCAGATCGAACTAGCTAGTATCTTTTGCATTATACATCTAAACTAAATTATTTTCATTATAGTAGTCTACATATTTATCGATATGCATCTAGGTAATTTAAGATATACCGATTTAGTTTTTCAAGATGCTACTACAAGATTCCTAACTTTTACCAAGGGGGTTTAAGGTCGGCCACCTATAAAACTGTCGGCCATACATATTACTGAGTGGTTACCCTCGGCAACACGCACATGTGGTCGGTAATTTATCATATTGCCGAGGGTACCCTCGGTAACCATGTACCCGAGGGTTACGGTCGGTCTTTTTTTCCAGAGACCACGCATGGTTCTTTCTTGCCGACACATTTCCCGAGCGTATACCGTCGGTTATTCTTATTCTCACCGAGAGGTTTATTTTCCCGTCAAATTGAGAACCCTCGGTTTCTAATATACCCCGTCGGACACTAATAATCATTTCCGAGAGTTAAATTAAACCCCTCATTTACTAATATACCCCGTCGGCCACTAATAATCATTTCCGAGAGTTAAATTAAACCCCTTGGTTATTAATATACCCCGTCGGCCACTAATAATAATTTTCTAGAGTTAAATTAAACCTCTCAGTTACTAATATACCCCGTCGGCCACTTATAACCATTTCCGAGTGGTATCTTATAACTCTCACTCACTGATATATCCCGTCGGCCACATGCTAAATAGCCGAATGTTCTCGTAACTACCCTTATTAAAATTTCAAACGGTCGGCTACCTAAATCTTCCTGACGGTCTGTAGGATTTTTTGCTTGGACGCTTGGCAAATCTTAGGATTCTAGTAGTGAGATCAATAAAAAAAAGAGTGTATATGTTAACTTTAATAAATCTGTGTTCAAAAGAATGCATAGAGTTGGCGTCCAAGGCTGGCATTTCTTTTGGGTGGGGGCTCGTAGTCCACCGAGTTCATGTTCTTTCTTGGCAGGCACACAATCCCAAAACAAATCAGAACTCGAAACTCTAGCTAGCTATGTCCCATCTGCCGAAGACATTGTCGTTGTCGCCGTCACCGAATACCCGCAGCTCGTCATCACTATCTCCGTCGCTACTACCCCTCCGCCGCTAAATCTGTGCAGGGGAGAGCCGCCGCCACCGGAGGAGCACGGGGGAGACTATTGCCGCCAGATGCGCACGGGGGAGGGCCTTCGCCGCTAGATCCACGCGGGGCAAGGCTGCCGCCGTCTATGCGCCGCTCCTCTGTTGACTGTTGGCCTGCGCTTGAGCCCGCCGCCGCCCGCTCGCTCCTACCGTCTCTGCCTTGGCCGCCGGAGAAGAGAAGTGGGAGAGGGGAGAGGGAAGTAGAAGAGATGAGGAGAGGGAGTGGAGAGAGATGGCGTGGAGGAGTGGGGGAGAGAAGAAGAGAGAGAAAAAGATGTGGTAGAGAGAAAGATTGTTTTTAATATATCTGCCACACCGTTTACATATTGATTTTTTTTAATTGACGAGGGAGTGCGGTAGATCCGATGATCCTGGTTCACTCGTAGACGATAGATGACCACCCAAAAAGAATCTTGGTCGCTCAGACCGTTCAATGGAAAAACGATCAAGGCAGTAGACTTTTTCATGAGTTCTTGAAAGCAACTATTGGTTTTTATGGCCAATTTAATTTGTTGCAGCAAAAGTGTGGCTAGAAATTACTAAGGCTTGCCATCTTAGGCCTGGTTTAGTTCTCAATTTTTTTCTTCAAACTTCTAACTTTTTCATCACATCAAAACTTTCCTACACATACAAACTTTCAAATTTTACGTCACATCATTCCAATTTCAATTAAACTTCCAATTTTAACGTAAACTAAACACCCTTAGTTAAAGAATGCACTAAAATTGGTCTCATGGCATGTGCAACAGGCCTGTTACCCTATACCTATATAATAAATGAGTAGTCTGTTGGAACGTAAAAATTAAAAAATATATATAAACAGGAGAAATGTAGAAATAGAAAGTCATGGCATATACAATCGCCAGAAATTGAAACACTAAATTTTGTCGAACAAGTTGTTTGAATACTTCATAGGGAATTCATAGTAAAATTATAGGGATGATATTATTTAGATAGAGTTGAGAGGAAAGATAAAGATATATAGTGTATAGTATTGGATTTCTCAAAGGAAATCAAAACCAAGGTTTGAGCTTATATTTGAAATCCTAAAAAAAAAGGAAATGAAGGATTCCTATGGAAAATGTCTAGCCAAATCCAACAAAATTCCTATAAAAAATATCTTGATCCATAGGAAAATTTTCAATAGAATTTTAATATATTAGGATAGTGGCTAGATAGGATTTCAATCCTACAAATTTCCTATAAAGTCCCTGGAAACACAGGGCTCTTTTGGAACGCAACAATAAAAAAACATAGAAATACGATAGAAATGTACATGCAAAAACATAGGATTGAAATGTTGTTTCGAATACAAGAATAAAGTAAAACACAATATTCTTTCTAAACAAAGAAGTGTATATAGGGGTGTGTGTGTGTTTCCTTAATGTGTGTTCAAACCGTGATCATTCGAAGCGACACGCATTATGTCTTTGACTTCTTACAAGAAAAGAAAACAAGAGGTCCTAATGCATGCTGAAATTTCTATGAAATCAAGGCCAAACGAAAATTTTGTCTAGGCCCCGTTTAGTTCCCCAAATTTTTTCCAAAAAATCACATCAAATCTTTAGACACATGCATGAAGCATTAAATATAGATAAATAAAAAACTAACATAAGTGCTACAGTAACCCACATGTGCCAATGACTGCTTAATTAGGCTCAAAAGATTCGTTTCGCGGTTTCCAGGCGAGTTATGAAATTAGTTTTTTCATTCGTGTTCAGAAAGGCCTTCCGACATCCAATCAACTATCCGATGTGACATCTAAAAATTTTCTTTTCGCGACCTAAACATGCCCTAAATTTTCTTTACCTTTTCCCTCCAGTTCGAAGGATGCATGAATAGTAACTCGATCAATTCTGTAGTAACCGAGACCTCCAATCCTAGGGAAATCTCCAATTAATTTTCCTTTAGAATTCCTCCGATCGATCTAAAGGAGGCCTAATATCATGCACCATCCTAGCTATAGCATGGAATGCATGTTCATGAAGACATCGATTTAAAAGCTTAAGTTTGCACATATTTACAAATTACAATAGGTTTTCATATACTTGACATTAACCTGTCCTTCACGACGCTAGCTAAGCTCTCATCACGCACATACATGCATGAATAATATATATCCACACAGCACAGATCTAAATCGTTGCGATCCAAAAGATAATTAGGAGAACTCGTCAAATATAGGGAAACATTCGATATATGAAATCAACGTTCAAATATATATATTTATGTACTTAAAAAGGAAGGAAAAACAAACAGATCCTCACCGCTTGGTGGAGCTAGCAACCTTGGTGGGCGTTGGCGCGGAGGATGATATAATACGGCGTGCAAGCTAAGCTAGGCACGGCTGATCAGTGAGCAAAATCGATCGTCGAAATTAAGCTGGGCCTCTGTGCCGGGTGTGTATATATAGAGTGTACGTGTGTTGTTTCTGGTTCGGTCGAGTTGTACCCCCGTACCGAGAATCGTAACGAGCGATCGCTTGCGTGAGGAAGTGGATAGCGATTGGTTGGTGGGCCTCTCTTCCCAGTTTCCACTAGTTCCTACGTTGCTTTTTTTTTTACTGTATTACTTTCCTATTTCAGTAAGTTTATATATTTTAAGTTTACACATTTAAAGTTTGTACGGTTAAACTTTATACACATAGAGTTTATACGATGAAAGTTTATATACTGGATTTAAACTCGAATTCAAATTTAAATATATTTTAAGCAATCGGTTGGTGGGCCTCTCTTTCCAGTTCCCACATCGCTTTCTTATATTTTGGCACCACATTAATTTTCTATTTTAGTAAGTTTATATATTTTAAGTTTACATATCTAAAGTTTGTACTGTTAAAGTTTATACACATAAAGTTTATACGATAAAAGTTTATATACTCGATTTAAATTTGAATTCAAATTTAATTATATTTTATATAAAATATTTATATACACATAGTTTATATGTACAAAGTTAGCAATGTATATGTATATATATATATATAAAGTCTATGTAAATAAATAGTTTTTAGTGTAATATATTTTTCATTCTCTTTTTTCACACTTATTTTCAAATTGATTTTAAATTTACGAAGAACCCACGACTAATCGCCTAACGTCGTTGCCTTTTTTTTTTTTACGTGAGGAAACCGCGTGCGGGCGTGATTTCTGATCGTTGGCCTCCGGCGCCAGCGATCGTTCGCGCAGTAGCCACGGCCAGTTGTAATGTACGAGGGAGGGGAGCATCGAATGAGAGACGGGGGTAATAATTACTAGATTAATTAGTTGACCAAAAGGCATGGAACGAGACGGGAGTAATAATCAATTAACGCATGTGCGTCAGCACCGTAAGAGCAAGTTTGAAAGTATAGCGACTGCTAACTCTAAATCATCTATAGTCAATTTAATATGTAATTTATACAATAATTACCATTATAAATATATAATCCTACCTACCATATACACATTGTATCTTAGAGTCTATACTATAGATGAGTATAAATTTGTAGCCCGCTACTCTTCTCCCCTATTTTATCCTCTCAACATTTGTTTATAGCCACTACTGTACCTGCTCTAAGGTTGTGTTCTTCACCCTTTTTTCTCAACTCACATCTATCTTTTTCTGCGCCCACATTTTGTAAAATGATAAACGGTATTCGCCCTCCGCACCAGAATATAAGAAGTTTTAGAGTTTGACACAGGTATTAAAAAAGTAGGTAGAAGTGAATGGTGCAGGGTTGTGATTGGATGAGTAGTGGAGGTAGGTGGCAAAAGTGAATGGTGGAGGGTTGTGATTGGTTCGGAAGACAATGTTAATGGAGAAGTTGTTATATTTTGGGATAAATCCTGAGGGCTAAAAGTTGTTATATTTTGGGACGGAGGGAGTATGTTTTCCTAAAATTTTCTATGGTAGAGTTGCTTTAAAAAGTCGTGTTAATCCATTTTTCATGTTTTCTTTTGACTGGAAATTTTTCAAGTCTTTTAAGCTAATATTTAATTAATCTCGCTCTAATCTTCTCCTCCCGAACTCAGCCAGTCAGCCTAGGTAGCATATCTCGCCCAAGCGTATTACTAAGCCCGCGTTTAGCATGTACTCTCTCCGTTTCACAATGCAAGACTTTCTAGCATTGTCCACGTACATATAAATTTTAATAAATATAAACACATATATATGTCTAGATTCATTAACATCTAAATGAATGTGGGCAATGCTAGAAAATCTTATACCGTGAAATGGAGGAAGTAACTTATTATAATAACAAAAATAATGTAAATAACTAAGAGTCCAACTGAAAGTTTTAAAATATTAAAGTCGAAAGTTCTGAATTTTGATTGTTTCGACAGTTGAATTAAAAATTTTAAATTTTGAGTTGACAGTTTTAAAAATTCGAGTTAAATTTTCAATATTTTAAGTAAAAAAATAATTTTTTTTCAAATTTAGAAACTTTTTGTTGAAAAACGTCTTATAAATTTTTTCTCAAATTTTACAAGTATTTAAAAATAATTGTAGAGTTTAAATAAAACTCAAATTAATTAAAAATTAACTGTGAAAAAAATGTTTAAATAGCTTTCATTTATTGTAAACTGCTTAATATAAAAAAAAACACTTAAAGAAACGTTTGCTTCGTATCAGGCCCTCAACACAAACCAGCGCGTGGCAACGCAAGATTTAGTTTTTCCGGTCAAGCACGACGGTACCAGGCTAGAATTAAGTTTTGTGAATGTGCAAACATCCGTGTTGTACTGTAATTTGTTCTAAAGGAAAATAATAAAAATGAAAAAAAAACAAGAAGAAAAAGAAGGGAAAATCGCTCTCGCGGACAGCATGTTCGCCGTCAAGCGGACGGTCGATCGAAAGGTACGTACCGTAGACCGTGACTTTTTTTGTACGGAGGGAGCAGGAAATTAATATTTGTAGGCCTCGACTTGACTTCGAATCTTTAACACGACCCGCGCGGCTTCGCGGAAGCTTCCTCACTGAGTACCAGTAGCAATGTGGGGGCACATTACATGTGAACGTTTTCCTGGTGTCTTGGCGGCAGTGAGCCGCGAAGCCGCGTGGTCACCTTGACAAGGCCAAGTGGCCAACACGCCGCGCCCATGCTGTCACGTACGAGGATGATTCGCGGACCGGCGAGGCGGCGACGCGGACTTCCTTGCCTCGCCATCGACATCCGCCGTGTTTAGGCCTGGTTTAGTTACTGCTCTAAACTTTTTCCTTAAACTTTTAACTTTTTCACCATGTCAAAACTTTTCTACATAGGATTTATTTAAGGGCTGTTTGATACAGCTCCAACTCCTAAATATTACTCCAGGAGTTAGGTCTGGAGTGGAGTTATGGAGTTGCCTAAACCCAGCTCCATAACTCTAATATATTTTATGAGAGAGCTCCACCCAAACAGACCCTTAGTTTTAATAGAGCTGAAACTGTTTGGCTGAGCTCCAGCTCCAGGAGGGGTGGAGCTGAAGCTGAAGATGTGCCAAACAAACCCTTAGTTCACATCAAAATTGGAAGTTTGATTGAAATTGGAATGATGTGACGGAAAAGTTAGAAGTTTATGTGTGTAGGAAAGTTTTGATGTGATAGAAAAATTGGAAGTTTGAAAAAAAAGTTGGAAACTAAACCAGGCCACACGCAAACTTTTAACTTTTCCGTCACATCGTTTCAATTTTAATCAAACTTTCAATTTTGGGTGTGTTTAGTTCACGCCAAAATTGGAAGTTTGGTTGAAATTGGAACGATGTGATGGAAAAATTTAAAGTTTATTTATGCAGAAAAGATTTGATGTGATGGAAAATTTGGAAATTTGAAGAAAAATTTTGGAACTAAACTCGGCCTTTGGCGTGAACTAAACATATCCTTAGATTCAAAATTTTTTCTTCAAACTTACAACTTTTCCGTTACATCAAATGTTAGACACATGCATGGAACATTAAATGTAGATGAAAAAAACCAATTACACAGTTTGCATATAAATCACAAGACGAATCTTTTGAGCCTAATTACGCCATGATTTAACAATGTGTTTCTACAATAAATATTTGCTAATGATGGATTAATTAGGCTTAATAAATTCGTCTCGCAGTTTACAGCGAAATCTGTAATTTGTTATATTATTAGTCTACGATCAATACTTTAAATAGGTGTCCATATACTTGGCACACAAACTCAACACAGCCATCGAAGAAAAATTTTCCATTGTAACGTAAAACCTTTTTTCTTTTAAGAACCATAGCGTAAAACAGGTCCGCCGATAGCGTGGCATTCGCCTTGCAGGTATAAAGCGGAACAGTTTATTAGCGTGTGATTAATTAAGTATTAGCTATTTTTTAAAAAGAAATATATTAATTTAATTTTTTAACTAACTTTCGTTTAGAAACTTTTAAAAAAATATATATCGTTTAGCAGTTTGAAAAGCTGAAAATAAGAGAGAGTGGTTGGAAAAAAAAAAGGCATCCGAACACACCAAAGTACCGCACGGGGCCGGACAGGGGCGTCATGCAGCAGTGGTCCAGGCGGTATATGGTCGCGACGTCGCAAGCGCAGGCGAGCGCGCCGGCCAACTTGCAGCGCGACGACTCGTCCCTCCTGCGGAGCAAGAGGGTGGTGCCCGGTGCCGTGGTGGGCGATGTCGGTTGCGCCGCGGACGACGACTTTGCGCGCGGAAGACTTCGAAAATGTGAGTTTTTCTTTTCTTTTTCTTTTTTTAACGGTGGGAGTATAGCACTAGCTGTTGCGTGTGTCACAGGCCCAGCGGCAAGCTATAGATAGCCGGAGTTGCATCCATATCTAGAGCACCCAAGTGCAAGTTTTGTGTTCTGTACGAGACAACTTGCCCTTCTTCTGGTCCTCTCAGGTCTCAGCAGGTTAGTCAATCGCGAGAACTGCATTTTTTCCCCTCTTCCATGCATGCTAATCAAGCTGATCTTCTAGCTTTATCTTCTAGATAGCCTCGCCATTTCTTTTGCATGGTTTCCCCTATTTTTTCAGATTGATCATGCGAGAAATCCGCATCCACACTTTTTTTTTTGTTTTTCTCATTTCTCCTAGTCATGGCATCATGGGTACAATAGCTCCATCGTCCGGCCTTCATTGATGTGCGTTTCAAAAACAAATATGCATACAAGTACCCTATGAGATTGAGAGTGCAACCGTGTGTTATCAATTGTTTAACTATATACTTCCTCTGTTTTAAAATGTTTGACACTGTTGACTTTTTAGAACGTGTTTGACCATTCGTCTTATTCAAAAAAATTAAGTAATTATTTATTTTTTTTGTATCATTTGATTCATTGTTAAATATACATTTATATACACATATAGTTTTACATATTTCACAATTTTTTTAATAAGACAAACGGTTAAATATGTGCTAAAAAGTCAACGGTGTCAAATATTTTAAAACAGAGAGAGTATCAGATTATCCCCAACATGTAGTTATGAGAATATTGCTTTGCAATAGTTATGCTTACACACTTTATAGAAGGACAGTAGGAGATAAATGGATGACAAGGAGAACACGTTAGAGCATGCAAGAGTGATGCCCGTGGACCTTACATACAAAAAGTTAGAAGAAATTACAAATGGTTTCTCTGAGGAGCACAAAGTTGGCAGTGGTGGGTATGGAGTTGTTTACAAGGTATGGTTCATACTTGTATTTCTATTTTTTTGTAAGTAATACAATATATACTACCATTAATACTGGGCCACCAGAACCCTGATGCCATATATGAAACAAATTAAAGCCACTTCATCAAACAGGGAGTACTGGAAAATAACACAGAGATTGCTATCAAGAAGCTACATCAAATGGTAGGACTGGACGATGTGCAATTTAAGAAAGAATTTAATAACCTTATGAGGGTCCAGCATAAGAATATTATAGGGTTAGTTGGATACTGCTATGAAATACGACACAAACATATCAAGGTGGATGGAGATTACCATTTTTCTAGAATGGAAGAAAGAGCACTTTGCTTCGAATATTTGCACCGTGGAAGCCTTGACAAGTATCTTTCTGGTATGACATGCATACTTCTCAATCTACATGGACTATACATGTACTATTTTGTAGGTAAGAAATAGTAGTGCCTTGCATTTACATATATCATATGGTACTATTATTTTTGTTTATAATTATACAGATGAAACATGTGGACTTGATTGGCACACACGTTACAAAATAATCAAGGGGATTTGTGAGGGTTTAGATTACCTTCACAATGGTCGTCCAGAAGATCAAATTGTTCATTTGGACTTGAAACCTGCTAATATATTACTGGATGAGAACAAAATGCCAAAAATTGCTGATTTCGGTTTGTCAAGACTCTTTGGTTCAACACAAACTTTTACGACAAGAACTTTTATTGGAACAGTGTAAGTTATGCAAGTTGATTCATTGTGAAAGTTCCATTGATTTCTATACCCTTTTCTAATCATTAACAACATGCAGTGGGTACATGCCGCCAGAATACATTGAGAGACGCCATATCTCAATGAAGTTTGATGTATTCAGTTTGGGTGTTATAATCATAGAGATAATGGCAGGACAATCGGGCCGTTCTACAAGTGCTGAAATGTCTCCCCAACAATTTATTGATACTGTAAGAATTGTTTTTTTTTTCTCAAACTTTTTATCATTCACTTTCTACTTTCTGCTTTATTATTCACTTTGGATTTGCAAGGTACAAGAGAAATGGAAAAAGAGGATGCAGGAAATTTCGAGTCATACATCATCACATGAGGCAGATAGCCTAGAAGTCAAGACATGCATCGAAATAGCTGTAAGGTGTGTAGAACCCGACCGAAAGAAAAGGCCTACTCTGAGGGAGATTATTGATAAACTGAACGAGTTAGAAAATGTGAGGAAGGCACTTATAGGCCAGGTAACGTGACATTCGCCATCACGACATCGCGGTTATGTCTAATTCACCAGAAAATTGCGTATTTTCCTCCTTTCTTCAGCTTATGACTTAAATTTAATTTGTCAAATTATGCGGACTCAGCGTATATAATGAACTTGACATTTACTAAGGAAGAAATTAAAACAATGCTAGGATACATTTGTTGATTGGTAGCTAAATATTTAAGTAAGGACTTATTTGGTTAATCTCACCCACACCGCAAGAGGATTGAGAAAGATTTAGAGGGGAATAATTCCATATCTATTAAGGCCCTGTTTCTTTCAGTTTGGGATTATTATAATTTAGATTATTGAGTCAGATTACTATAAGCTAGATTGTTATAATCTGTAGTATAATAAGCGATTAGTTATTTCTTTCCTAGATTATTAGAGCCTAGATTATTGGGTTTGCAAGTCTAAAGAGGGAGTGGGGTGGCATGGTGGGTAATTTTGCACCCAATAATCTAGAAAAAGCTCACCTAAATGAGCTTATCAGATTATAATAAGCTGGGCTCCAGATTATAATAAGCTGGGCTCCAGATTATAATAAGCTATAGCAATAAGTTGTCTGTTTCTTTCAGCTTACTCCAAATAATCTGGATTATAATAATCCCAATCTGAAAAAAAACAGGGCCTAAGGTGTGAATTTAATCATATCCCCTCAATCCACTCCAACTCCTCCCTTATTAGGGCATGTACAACAGTTAGAGATAATATGGTTTTTAATCATTAATGTATCCAAATACTTTTTTTTTCTCTTCTTTCCTTTCTTTCACTATCATGCAACAAAATTTACTCTAATAAATGCTAAGAGTCGACTCTGAGCCGTTGTCATGCATAACAACCATACTCCTTTCTCTTTCTTCCATGTCATCAAATTACTTGCATGGCAATAGAGAGAGACCACTAATAAAAACCGTTGTACATGCACTTAGGATTAACTGAAAAAGGCCTAAGAGAGATTCTGGCAAGGTTCCACATTTTGTTACTCAGTTTTGCTAACTCACTAATAGAGAACCGATCTTTCGTAGATTAAAAACCGGTATTAAAGTTGCTTTACTACCGGTTCTAAAAGTCCAATTCCCTATAAACAACTTTAGTCTCGGTTGATGTTACTAACCGGTACTAAAAATGCCTCCAGAGTTAGGTCAAAAGGAAAACGTCTCTATTCAAGTCAGATGTGTAAATATAGTTGGTGAGATGGTTATACGCGTGAGAGATAAGGTGAGAGATCTTGAGTTTGAATCCTACATCCCACATATTTTTTTTCTCTTGCTATATGCATTTTTAGTTTTAACCGGTACTAAAGATCGACATCTTTAATCCCAATTTGCTCATCTCGGTTGCTACCACCGGTAGTAAATGTGGTTGTAAACCGGGAAAAAAAACGTTTCCCCTGTAGCGACTGTATAAACTACGAAGTGACAAGTGACTGAATACCAAATTAAGCCTAGACACAGGGACTAGTATGTATGGCAAGCTAGGTTTCTTCTTGAGTATATAGTATGATCCCTCTGATCGTTGTGACAGAGCTCAGCTGGGTGTAAATCGGAGCGCCTTGTGATCGACCCTCTGGAGGTGCGCTTCCCATTTGAGAAGGACAGGGATGTATCCTGCGTGCTGCAGCTGACGAACAGGTCCGCCGATCGCGTGGCGTTCGCCGTGCAGGTGGACGAGTCCAAGTACCGCGCGGTGCCGGACAGGGGCGTCGTGCAGCCGCGGTCCAGGCGGTACATCGTCGCGACGTCGCGAGCGCAGGCGAGCGCGCCGACCAACTTGCAGCGCGACGACTCGTTCCTCCTGCGGAGCAAGAGGGTGGAGGGCAGCGCCGACGACGACTTTGCGGAAGACTTCGAAAAGCTGATGGGCAAGGCGGTGGATGGGGAGACGATGAGGCTGCCGGTTGTCTATATCGCACTGCCTCTACCTCCTAGCAGTTAAGCGATTTATACGCAGCTGTCTGTCCTCATGTATCAGAGATCCGCTAGCTAGTCCGAATAATGTCCGATCCGTCGACATTTGCGTCTTAACAGCCTCGTGATTTATATATATGACTTTTGTGAAACTAGGAAGATAGCCCACGCATATGTGCGGGCATTTGTTTAATGTGTTTATGTGCAGTTGGTTTTTTTATTGAAATATCATTTATACTCTATTCAAATTTATTTGAGATTTCTATGAATGTTGGTTATGATTTTCTTCTAGCTTGTTACCCTTGCAACATAAAAATTTGGTAAAATTTGCTACGGGACATAAAAAAAGTGTAATTAGCCAGGGGATACCGGAAAAATATGTATTTGCTGGAGAACAAAAAAAAACTGGTAATTAGCTGCTGGACACTCGCGGTATTATTTTATTATTTCAGAAGAAAATAGAGAGATAAACAGCTGTGGAATTACGGTTTTACCCTTCAATCCAGTCAAGTTTCACTCCCCTGTGGGACACACCAGTCAGGGATCTTTTTTTACTTTTTCTCTCCTATTCTACTCCTTCCTTTCTTCTTCATGTCTTCTTCCACAATGGCCTGTACCTCCCCATGACCCCACCCATCGCGGCTCTCGTGGCGCCACCGCCGGAGTGCGACAACACGCAGGACCTGCCCCGGATGTTCGTGTTGCTCACCCCGACCGAATGCAACACGTCGCTCACCTACACGCAGTGGAAGGAGGCGGACGCCTCCATGCGCCACCGACTCTCGCTCAATGCTCGTGCCGTGCTCGGCTACACCGCGCAGAGGATCTTTGCGCGGTTCACGGCAGTCACCAAGCTCACGCTCAGCTGCGTCGGGGCTCCGGGACAGACAGCCTCTCCGACGACGCGGCATGCCAAGTGGCCATCGCATTGCTGTCCGAGCGGCTCGCCAGGCTCAAGCTCCGTGGCCTCCGGCACCTCTCGGACGACAGGTTCGCGTCGCTCGCTGGGGCCACACCGGTGATCCACAAGTTGTCCATCGCGTCCAGCAGTTTTGGGCCCTAGGCCTTCGTGGCGATCCTCCGGTCGTTCGTGTCCTCTCTGTCAAGCGTTCACGGCGTCCGGCTGGGAGCAAGAGCTAGAGAGTGGAGACCACGACGAGCGGCCAAGCATTGGCGGTGGCGTGGGAGAGGCCCACGAGGCCATGGATGCAGCCGGGGCTGGAGACGGCGAGGAGCAGACTGGGGGAGCCGATGAGGAAGGGAGTTGGTGAGGAAGCCGTAGGGGCAAACTTATCTTTAATGGATATTTCTCCCTCTATTTTCTCCGGAAATAATAAAATAATATCGCGAGTGTCCAGCAGCTAATTACCGGTTTTTTACGGTGTCCTCCGGTAGATATGCGTTCTTGCAGTGTCTCTTAGCTTACTACACTTTTTTAAATGTCCTGTAGCCAATTTTGCCTAAAAATTTGTTAACTAAAATTGCGTGAAAGCATGCAATTTTGAATTTATAAGAAAATATTGTGTTATTACAATGAAGTTGGTTTCTATGAAACTATATATATTTTGTACTATGGGTATTTCTATACTTTAAGTAATACTACCTCCGTTTCACAATATAAGACTTTCTAGCATCATCCACATTCAGATAAATGTTAATGAATCTAGACTCATATATAAGACTTTCTAGCATCGTCCACATTAATACAGATGTTAATGAATCTAGACACACATATGAATCTAGATTCATTAATATCTATATGAATGTGGGCGATGCTAGAAAGTCTTACATTGTGAAATGGAGGAAGTAATTGCTTTTATGCTATCTATGTCTTTGTGGATTTTAGGATAAATTAATTTAAGATTTTCTATTAAACATATAGCTAATAGAACTATGTCATATAATTAAAGATAGATTATACTTCGCCGCATAAATGCGAGAAAGTTAAATTTAGCATGCAGTAGTGACTAATTAGGTGGAAACAAAAGGGGGCGGCGTCTAGCAAAATCTAGCATGTAGTAGTGACTAATTAGGTGGTTCAGGCTCTAGTAGACCAATTTGGTCCCACATTGCATATTTTCTTTAGATAATGGAATAGAATCCTAGCCTTTACTTAAAGAGTTACAGCCAATTATTACGCCAATTCGACCAAACACAAAACGCAACACAACAAACCATAAAAACACAAGCGTAATAGAACAGGAGCACACGAAAACTACTAAAAGTCAACACAAGAAAAGACCACAAGATTATTGAATTTTATTTGTGAATTTTCATCCGAAGTTGGCAAAAAGATGCATAACCATTGACTCAAGATTACAACCTGCAGCTTTTATTAGCTTGTTATCTACATTACACTTTTGCAGTTGAGCCTAGGACTGGAGCCAATGTGTTTCCTAAAAAGAACCTGCATATAAAATATAGATGGTGATTTATCAAAACCAAATTATTTCTACTGAACTATACAGCCCAACATATATTGGATGTTCCTAAAAAATAAGTTTACTGGTTTTTTTTATCAATCCCCATAAGCCTATTCTAAAAAAATAAGATATACTAAGTGGAATATTTAAACCAGAAGAAAACTATAGTGCTCTCCAAAGAAATTTTGCTTAATGACACTCCATAAATAAATGATGGATAGTTTTATTTTTCATGCAGAAGCAATATTTTAAACTATCATGCCAATTCCTCCTAGCCAAGTTATCCTTTATTAACACAACCCCTTTTAACAGGTGTTATATAAAAATCTTAATCTTAAGAGGCATCCTAATTTTCTAAATAAACTCATTCTTCTCAATGTAGCCATTATTAATTAAAGCTAAGTACATAGAACGAATCGAGAATTGACCATTTTTATGAAGATTCCATCTAAAATATCATTCTCCTCTGTCAAATGAATATGCACAATTGAACCACACAAATTATGTAAGTTAGTCAGGTTATGCCCTACTAGAGCTTTCTAAAAAAAAATATTCTGTGAAACATAACACATAATATTTGCAACCGAGGAGTTTCTGCTTCGAACTATAGCATATAAAGATGTGTATCTATCATTGAAGGTATAGTTTCCTACCCATTGCGTATTTTATCAAGCGAAAATTTGACTTCGTCTTTTTCATCATTGAGACGGGGAGAAAAAAGAAGAGAAACCTAGCTATCTGTTCACCTATTTGTTCTGTTTCGTGTTGATACATATGAGGACGATAGGACCACCCAACAATTAATTAACTCGACTAGTATAACACTACCAGATATCCCCTGTTTATTAGGTTAGGTGAAGATCAAAAAAGCAGTAGGAAAACAGTTTCGCTACCAATCTTTTGAACAAGCATGATTGCAAAGACCCAAATGACTCGTAGAACAGTCTACCCTTGATGTTACAAGGCAGCTAACCACCAGAATTAAGACGACGAAATGCAAAGACCTGATCGTCGAAGACCCGAACCATATTCATTGCTAAACCTGGTCGTCGCTTACTCGCTTTCCATGTCTCGTTGCAATTATGTTGGGTGCCGAGAAAAAACTTGTGCACACATATACACATGGCCTCCTCCGGTTAACGCCACAAATCGCCAATGTACGTAGCGGCAAACACCACTCAATCCATCGCACACTAGCTAGAACACAAGAAAAATCTCAGCCCCGATCGATCGAAATCCATGGCGTTCCAGTTCCACACGCTACTATCAGCCGTAACAATATGGCTGGGCGTAGCGGCTGCTACGGCGAGGCTCCATGCCGCCGTCGCCGGAGCACGAGCGCCGCCGCCGCCGCCGCCGCCCGGCAACTGCCAAAGGAAGTGCGGCGACGTAGACATCCCCTACCCGTTCGGCGTCTGGAACGGCAGCGAGTCCGACGGCTGCGCCGTTCCAGGCTTCTACCTGAACTGCGACGTCGACGACAACCACGTCTACAGGCCGTTCCACGGGAATGTGGAGGTTCTCAGCATCTCCCTGCCGACCGGGCAGGCCCGGGTGACGAACTCCATCTCCTCCGCTTGCTACAACACCAGCTCCCGCGACATGGACTACAACGACTGGCAGATCAACTTCACCGGCACGCCGCTGACGATCTCCGACGCCGACAACAAGTTCACCGTCGTCGGGTGCCAGACGCTGGCGTACATCACCGACGACGACAACATGGGCAAGTACACGAGCGGGTGCGTCGCCATGTGCCAGGGAGGCGACCTGACGAGCCTCGCCACCAACGGGTCGTGCTCCGGGATAGGCTGCTGCCAGACAGCCATCCCCAGGGGTCTGAAGTACTACCGCGTCAGGTTCGACACGGGCTTCAACACCTCGGAGATCTACAACGTCAGCCGCTGCAGCTACGCGGTGCTGATGGAGTCGAAGGCCTTCAGCTTCCGGACGAGCTACGTGAGCTCGCTGGAATTTAACAGCAGCAACGGTGGCAGGGTGCCGTTGGTGGTGGATTGGGCTATCGGAAACGAGACTTGTGATAAAGCCCGCAGAAAGGTTGACACCTATGCATGTGTCAGCCACAACAGCAAGTGCTTCAACTCGTCCAACGGACCAGGCTACATCTGCAACTGCTCCGAAGGGTACCAAGGTAACCCCTACCTGCAGGACGGGCAGCACGGTTGCACAGGTATGAAAACTGATCCATTTAAGGGTGAGAGAGGAATTGTATACGTGAATATATACACATAAACAAATGAATCACATAGCCAAGTGAGAATTGGTGTGGATATTTCTTGATTTTAAATGCTTTTACGGTACTCATTTACTAGCAGAATTGAAATATATAACAGTTGATTATCATAAGCATTTAAAAAGTTTAGCCAATGCAAGGTAATTAACATTCATCTACTGTAATTTGGAATGATTTTTCAATTTAATTTATTATTTTATTACTATATATTTATTTTAAGTTCAATTTTACCACTTTAAAATTTGTACTACACTAATTAAATTTTGAAATATACTTTATCACAATTTTACGGGAATTTACTAGCTAGATTAAAAAATATTTAAATATACCCGATTCGCCTCGAGAAGGTGACACCTGGAATAAATTAAAAATATATATCTATCTAATTAACTTGTTTAGTTGTAATATCAAGACAGTTAAGATGTACTATATTTCCCTACACTTTTTAACATAGCTTATGAGAGAAAACATGCATCAGAATTTTTTTTTTGCCTTTATCTTTTGATTAGTTTAGTATGAGTCACAGAATCTGAGGTTCATTATATTATTAATATATGATTAATACACAAAACATCACAATTTCCCACAAGAAAATCATATTGCCCATGTATATATGATAGCAAATCACTGTTTATTTTTACCTATGTTTGATTAATGCAGATATAGACGAGTGTGCGGATCCGAAGTACCCTTGTTCCGTGCCTGGAACTTGCCATAATCTTCCTGGCGGGTTCGAGTGCTTATGCCCTCGCAGTCGTCCCAAAGGCAACGCATTCAATGGGACATGCGAGAGAGATCAAACCCTTCATACTGGAGGAAAAGTAGCTATTGGTACTCCATTATCCTCGCTTATCATTCCAAGTTCTTTTTCCTTATCCAAAAATCAGTAGCTAAGATTTTCCTTATGTTAGGCCATAGCATCCACATGTTCCACACCAGTTTATATGGATTCTCCACAAAAGAAAACAAAAACTAATTTTAATCTGTTTGATTAGTCATGGACCCCAACCGATACGTCACTCTCAGAACTTTTCAGAAAAAGAACTGAAAGTGTAACTACATAGAGTTCTAAACCGTTAGTCCGTTACATGATGTCGACCTGTAATTAACTTATTTATTTGGAATAGGAAGATGATTGCATCCCCGCCTTTGCATTTAGGATGTACAGTACACAAGCATGCAGTTTAATTTTGAAAGTTTTTTCTTAAGATAAACAGTATCTGTATATGCAGTGCTGAAGCACTTGTTTCAATTCAACCTTTAGTCTCCTTTACAAATATTCATTTCTGCAGGAATTTCCGGTTTTGCTATCGTTGGCCTCGTTGTTTTTCTTGTACGAGAAGTGATCCAGCACAAACGAAGTATCAAAAGACAAGCTCTGCAGAGACAGACTGACATGTATTTTCAACAACACGGAGGACAGATCTTACTAGAACTGATGAAAGTAGAGAGCAGCGCTGAGTTCACCCTCTACGACAGAGAGAAGATCGAGGTAGCCACAAACAATTTCGCCAAGGAGAACATTGTTGGCAAAGGAGGGCAGGGGACCGTTTACAAGGCTGTCCTCGACGGCACCACTGTTGCGATAAAGAGGTGCAACGAGGTTGATGAGAGCAGAAGAGCCGACTTCGTGCAGGAGCTGGTCATACTCTGTCGTGTCAACCACCCAAATATCGTCAAACTAGTCGGCTGCTGCCTGCAGTTCGAGGCCCCCATGCTAATCTATGAGTTCGTGCAGAACAAGACACTGCAAGAGCTACTGGACCTCCAAAGGAGTAGGAAGTTCCACGTCACACTGGCGACCCGCTTAAGGATTGCTGCAGAATCCGCCAATGCACTTGCACATCTCCACTCACTGCCGCGCCCAATACTCCACGGCGACGTGAAGCCAGCCAACATACTTCTTGCTGAAGGATTGGTTGCAAAGGTGTCTGACTTTGGTTGCTCAACGATTGATGAGAAAACCCAAGCTGTTGTAAAAGGTACACCGGGATATCTCGACCCAGACTATCTACTTGAGTACCAGCTCACAGCCAAGAATGATGTATACAGCTTTGGGGTCATTCTTCTTGAGCTCCTAACGGGTAAGAAGCCACTTTCAAAAGAACGGACGAGCTTGATCCCAATATTTCAAGGGGCAATGGAAAGTGGCAAACTCGTTGAGCTCCTGGACAGTGACATAGTAGATGAAGCCAACATGGGAGTTATCTGTCAGGCAGCATCACTAGCTAGTCAATGCTTGGCTAATCCAAGTTCATCAAGGCCAACAATGAGGCAAGTGGCGGAGCAGCTTCGACGACTAGCATTGGCAGATGAAGTACAACAATGCCCACAACCGCCGCTAGTGCTCGATGGCCTCATCCTCACAGAGATGGGGAGCACAACATCATCATGGTACACAGGAAGTGGAACAAGCGGGGTTTATAACCTTGAGAACAATGTCGTTCTAAGCACAGAATTCGCTAGATGATCCATAGACCCCTTGTGCTTTATTGAGTGTTACAATGTGTTGTTTTATCTGTGTTAGATTATGAGTTGTGTTGTTTTATCTCTGTGTTAGATTATGAGTTAATTCTTCCCAGTTGTGGTGGTTGACGGGCTTCCCAATGTGTGCGGCTGTAACCATGCATTGTGAGGAACAAGTGAAACAATCATGTTTCACAATATATAATAATTCAAGTGCATCAAACACAAGTAGTGGTAGTCATAGATCAAAACGAAATTATCTGCACAAAGTTTGAGTTTGCTATTATGAGTCGAGGTCTAGATCGTCCAGTGTGAAGACAACAATCCTGTTGCAATCAATTGGTGAAAAAGATTTGATGAGAGTAGGAAAACAGACCTTGGACGCATGAGATATACTACATCCCGTTTTCAATATATATCCGGCTAGAGTTAATGTAACATCCTAGCCTAGGGCTTAATAGGATTACTAGAATACTCATAGTTGCAACTTCTTTTCCGGAAGCCGATTTCCAAAGAACTCCAGGGTTAAGCGTGCTTGGCCTGGAGCAATTTGGCATGGGTGACCGACCGGGAAATTCTTCCCGGGTGCGCATGAGTGAGGACAAAGTGTGCAGAAAAGACATGTGTTGGTCTGTGAGGGCAGTCTGTAACCTATGAAAGCTATCAGATGTAAGTGGGCCCGGCCTGGGGGAAGGCGGGACGTTACAAAATGGTATCAGAGCCGACTCTCGCGGTTTCACGGGCGTGTGTGTCGCAGTTGCGCATGGTCTCTCGCGGTTTCACGGGCGTGTGTGTCGCAGTTGCGCATGGCTGGTGTGGATCCGGAGTGGTCACACAGCATGGCACATGCGCTGGCACTGGACACACGGACGTGGCCAAGAGGGGACGTTCCTGGCCTGGGGTTGATCGACGGGGGCGTCGATCTCTCTTAAGGGGGTGAGGATGTAACATCCCAGCCTAGGGCTTAATAGGATTACTAGAATACTCATATCAACAAGTTGCAACTTCTTTTCAGGAAACCGATTTCCAAAGAACTCCAGGGTTAAGCGTGCTTGGCCTGGAGCAATTTGGGATGGGTGACCGACCGGGAAATTCTTCCCGGGTGCGCACGAGTGAGGACAAAGTGTGCACGCTTAACCTGGAGCAATTTGGGATGGGTGACCGACCGGGAAATTCTTCCCGGGTGCGCACAAGTGAGGATAAAGTGTGCAGAAAAGACATGTGTTGGTCTGTGAGGGCAGTCTGTGACCTATAAAAGCTATCAGATGTAAGTGGGCCCGGCCTGGGGGAAGGCGGGACGTTACCATTAACCAATGGATTCCTTCTCGTATTGCTAAAAGTTGAGAATCTCTTTATGGGGAGAAGCTATACAGGTTAACAGAAGAAAGTAAGGCACAACCTGCTTTTCAACTGTCACACCCTAAAAATCGCTAAATTATAAATTGTTGTGAAAAAGGAAATTTTTAGAAATTATTTAATAAATAAAGTAAGTGTTTGAATAAAATCTATGAAAAATTTTAACATTAAATTGAGCTAGATAAAATTTTATTAAATAATTTGAGTGTCCAAGTATTTTCCGGATTTTTCCCGGAATTATTTGAGCATTGGAAGTATTTTTAACAAATGAAACATCATTTCAGCAATTATTTAAAATAAAAGTTAATTGAAATCCTCTCCCTAGTCTTGGGCCGAATTCGGCCCACGCCTCTCCTCTCTCCCATCCTTGGCCCGCAGCCCCTCTCTCTCGGCCGAAGACTGCTTTAGCTTCTTCCTCCATTCCCTCTGACGCAAGGGGCCCACCCGGCACAGTGCCGTCTTCCTCCTTCAGCCGGCCTCCCGTCCCGTGCCCTCGAATTTCGTCTCGGTTCTTATCCCGACGAACTCGGGATAAACTCTAAATTTCCGCCGCCGTTTCCTCTCGAATGCGCATCGATCTCTTCCTCCTCCGCCTATATAAAGGATGACCCAGGTCTCCTCTTCGTTTTTCCCCTCTTTTCCCATGCTGCCGTGCCCTAGTCGCCTCTCCCTCAGCTCGCCCTCTCTCTCCACCATCGCCGCCAACTCCAGCCACGCCGCGCCGCCCCTCTGGTCAACGCGGGCTTGCGCCTTCGCCTCCCTCGGCTCCGCAAGGCCGAGCTCCACCCTGGCCGCCGGTTCCTTTGCGCCGAAACCCCGCCGGAAGCTTTCGTCGCCATGAACCAGTGGGTCGCCGCCGTGTTTCGATCTCTAGCCACCACCCACCGTGGACTCCATGGTCGCCAGACCTTGTCGTCTCGTCCTTTGGCATCACAAGGACCCCGGGAAGCCCGTCCACCCCTTCTCCTCCGCCGGAGTTCGCTGGAACGCTGGTGTCGTCATCATCCCGAACCTCACCGCCGCTGTAAGTGTTGGTAAGCATCGCCGTGTCCTCCTCTTCCTCCCCATTCTATAGGCTTCCGTCGTCGTGCCGCTGTTCGCCGTCGCCACCGCCACCGCTGTCCAGAGCCACCGGCGTCGATCCAGCGTGGCTGTCACGTCATCGCCCTGTTAGCCGCCACCGCATTGCCACGTTGTCGTTCTATCCACATGGCATCTGCGCCAGCGACACGTGTCACCACGTGGCCGCTATCCTAAACGCTATATTGGATTTGATCTCACCTGTCAGATCGTGGTCAAAGGCCTGTCAAAGCAATCCTAGCCATCCATCCCGTGGACCCGTGAACTATCTTTGTGGACTTGGTTCATGGTAGACCCAGTCTACCGCTTGTATCTATGACGAGTGGGTCCCATCTGACACTAGCCCTTTTTCTCTCTTCCTAGGGCTGACGTCATATTCCTCCTTTATCACTTCTAAAATAATTAAATATGATGTCATAAATTACTTAGTTGTTTTCTTTATAGGTTTTAATTGATTAAAACTTCATTAATTCATAACTAATTCATATGAACTTGGAATAAGGTCGTTCAAGTCTCAAGATCTACCTATTTATGAACTTTCATTGTACTGTTTATTTGGTTTTTATTAGTGTTTTACCTCGTTTTGCGTTCTAGGTTTAGTTTTCAGTCGTTTCGGAGGCTCGTTCATCCATTGGAGAAGTTCCTGAAGACGAATTGAAGACGCTTGTTTGCAAAGCAAGTCACACAGATCCTAAACACAATCCTTTGAGTATATTGAACCTATATTTAAATTCTCCATTTCATTCAAATGTGCATTTATTTTCAAATGTCATCGGGATGTGAGCCTTTTCCCTATATTAAGGCATAAGATGACTTTATTTTCCTACGGGTTATAATTTGACTAGCTTGGGCCTTACATATTTGTTCAGCTAGATATTAGATATAATTGCTTAGCCATGCTTAGAAACATTAGCACACTATGGGATTCACTCTAATTCAGTCCTTAATTATATCATGATGTACCGTTATGGTATTGATTTAATTAAACTAAATACGCTTAAATGGTGGGTTGTGGGTGCATGGTTTGATAGTCACAACCATAACAATTAACGTCCGATTCTCGAAATCTCTGGAAGATATACCTGTACTTACCACATACCTGCATGGGCTCTAGGCTAAACTTGGAGTGTAGCTTAACCTAGCCAATGTACCAAGGCAAGGATGGACGTGATGGAGTATGGATGTTCCGTGCTGCGGTCTATGCTGCTTCCGGATTCACCTAGGCACAAGAGGGGGATGCCCGCTGCCTTTTGAGGAGTGGGGGTGAAACCTGAGGTGTGTATGATTGGTTAGGAAGGGTTATACAAAAGGTTCTGTCACAGTCTCTTTCCTGTATGTCGTGGTGGCATGTTGGCGCTTGGTAACGTGTTGTGAGGCTGTGTCTTGTGGGTAAAGTTGTACACCTCTGATCAAAGTAAAACTATTCGAATATCCATGCCCGCGGTTATGGGCGGTCAACCAGCTCACCGTGATTATTCTCACCTTAATAATTTGACATATTGAACTGAGTTAGTACAGGTGGTTTGGTTGGGCCTATGCAACGAGTATGTTGTATAGCGTTGGATTAATAATGTTTAATTAATTGCTGTACTATTTTACAAATACTTAACTCTTTGCTAAATGCTGCTTTCACAAATGAACCCTATATTATGCCATCCTTTGGTATCCATATGTACTTGCATACTTGTCGTGTGGCTTGCGGAGTATTCCATGTACTCACCTTGCAATAATCAATCAAACCTCGGTTGAAGAAAGAGGATCCAGAAGGAGAAGACCTTTGGCTTAAATCCCAGTTGAGCTGCTTGTGGGAGTAGTGTTGAAACTTTGCTAGATTTTATGTTCTGCTGTAGTTTTCTCCGTGGTAATAACTAAGTACCTCTTATGTAAGTATTTATCGCATTAGTTATTATGATGAATCTGTATATTAAGTTGTCAGTTTGTGTACCTCGGTTGATTCCTGGACGAGGATTTAATGCACAAATTAGTTTGAAAATTACTTATGAATTTTTGGGCGTGACAAGTTGACATCAGAGCCATCTCGATTGTAGGTCAAGCCAAACGGTTAAACCCATAAGGACATGTCTTTGCCAAAACAAAAAGTGCATGTTTCGAAGTCAAGATGGAGGCCCAAACCAAGTCGATTTCGAGTACGTTTCGGAGTCGAGGACCAGTATGCACTAAAATGGGCGCCCAGGTCGCATTCATGCTTGGATTGGGGCGTTCTTTATGCAGATGGAAAGCTAAGAAAATAACCTTTCCAATGGTTCTAGTCCCATATTCAAATTCTTTCCTAGTCATCGGGAATCGAGCGAGCAAGTTAACGTCCAGAATCTGTTCCGGTACTGCGCCGCCGTATTTTTGCCTTTCGGCCGCGTATCGTGTTGGAGCCCATTAGGGTTTGCACGACCCTAAACTTTATATATTAGTAGCAGCCTCCACCTTTAGGGTTTGGGTTTTGCTTACATTAATATGTTAAGAACAGTTTCATCGATCCTTCGGTTTGTAAGACCTCAACTTGTGAGCTTAATCATTCATATACAATTTGGTTGTATTCTTTCTTGTTCTGGTGTGTGTTCTTCGATTTGCAATTAGGGATTAGCCTTCTCAGCGAGGCCAACCGGGTTTCGACACGGTTGATAACCAGAGGAGACGTGGTGCTGCGATTACGG